TTAGAGAGTCCAGTATACAACGTCTAGAGCTGAGAGAGGATGAGCGTGAGTTTTTACGTGTCTTGTCTATTGGCATTGTCAACATATCTTATATCTGCGGAGGCTCCACTAAAAAGATTAGATCTATCCTCCAGCCCATTTGGATACAATCCTCAATTTTGGAAACACACACACACACACACACACACACACACACACACACACACACACAAAGGCACACACACACACACACAAAGGCACACACACACACGCACACACGCACGCACACACACAAAGGCACACACATACGCACAAGCAACATTCACACATTCACACATTCACACATATCTACACCCCATCGTGATGTGACTGTTTGTGCAGGTTTGCGTTGTCACTGCTGTACATTACAGATGCTGACATGCACCAGGCGCTGCTGAGTGCGCTCCTGATGATGGTCGAGTGTGCACCGGCACATCTTTTGCTGACAGACTTGCGCCCATTCCTCACGGAACTGCGCTGCTGGATTGAGGTCGCCCATTTTTTGTCTGTGCGCGCACGTGTTGAGATATACTTGTCTGCCTGCCTGTGTCTGCGTGTGTGTGTGTGTATGCGCGCGCGCGCGTGTGTGTGCATCTGCTTCGCGCAGTGTAACCACTGAATGCATGCTCACACTCGCTCACTCACTCACAACACACACTCTCACTCGCACACGATGCTGGTGTACAGGAGGTGATGGAGAGCAGCCCTGCGCCAGAGTGCCGCCGTCTCGCCGCCTCCATCCTCGTCATCTTGCATGAACGCACCACACAACAACGACAAGAGCGCACGCCGATGTAGCATAAACATAACCGAACAGTGCCTGTGACTGTGATGTGACATGGCATGAGATACACACACGACGCTGTGACGGGTGCCAAGCAAAGAGAACGTTGTCGGGAACACAACACACACACACACACACACACACACACACACACACACACACACACACACACACACACACACACACACACACACACACACACACACACACACACACACACACACACACACACACACACACACACCAGCTCAGGCAGGGAAGGACTGCCTTATTGTTGTTGGTGTTGTTGGCGATTAGTGGATACCTTTAACCAGTTTTCGGCAGCGACAGTGCAGTTGATGGACTCGAGTTACAACAACCACTGAGATCTCCCCCTTCCTCTGTTTCTTGTCTCACATTAACCTGGCTGATCATAACAAGACCTGCATTTACAACGAGCTGCACTGCATCAAGTTGAGGCATTACCACAACATTCGCGTCAACCAGCATCGACCAACCAAGGCCAAGGCCAAGTATGGGAGCGATCCGCTTCTACGGACACACAAAGCCGTTTGGCTTCATGAGCAACTTCTACCCTGCGAAAGTGGTGATTGATGGCCACACATGGCCAACCACAGAACACTACTTCCAAGCCATGAAGTTCCACGACAAAGACTACCAGGCCCAGATCCGCAAATACTCATGTGCGACAAGCTTGGCGGTGACCATGCCCACCTCGTTGGCTGGCTTCCTGGCGGAATGTGCGAGCTACATCTTGTTCTGTCGTGCCTGCCTCCCCTTGTCGTGTGGCACGCTTCTCACCCAGCATCAACACACACACACGCGCGCACGCACGCACACACACACACACGCACGCATGCAAACATCTTATTTGCTTCCACAGCGCCGTCGACTGCAAAGAAGCTTGGTCAAACACGGGCGGTGAAGCTGAGGAGCGACTGGGAGGACGTCAAGTATGATGTCATGTACAAGGCGTGCTTGGCCAAGTTCACACAACACGCGTAAGCGAAAACACGCGCAGCCTGATGCTTCATCTTGTGCGGTGTATGTGTGTGTGCCGTGTGTCGATGTGTGTGTGTGCTGATGAATGTGCGCATGTCTACGTGTGTAAATCTACGACGCACTGTGATTGTTGAATGTTCTCCTCACTTCCTTATACAACCAACAGGGATCTGCGCAAACAGCTGCTGGACACGGGCGACGCAAAGTTGATCGAGGTATTCACTCGGATGCAAATCGCCCCATGCGCCTGCCTTCGCTGTTGTGACTGACACGCAGGCGTACACGCTGCCCTGCTGGTGTTCGGGTGTGTTTGAATCACTTTGCAGTCGTGCATGCAAACCCCAACTCAACATCCCCACACAGTTCTCACATGTTGTCTATCTGCCTTTGCTTGTTGTTGTGTGTGCAGCACACGAGAAATGACCGGGTATGGGGCGATGGTGGCGATGGCACGGGCCAGAACAAGCTCGGCCAGGTCCTGATGGAGGTACGCCGCGAGTTGAGAGAGAAGGGACCCTCACCCGCGCACGCAGCACATGATGTTGCCAAGGCGACTGACAACGCCGACGATGATGGTGATGCTGGCGATGACGATGATGATGGCGAGGAGGGCACATCAAGCACAACAACTGCTGGCACTACAGGTTCGGCATGAGGCAACGTGCAAAACGTGTGTATGTGTTTGTGTTTGTGTCTGTCTATGCGTTTGTGTGTGTGTATGTGTTTGTGTGTTGTGTGTGTGTGTGTGTGGCTGTGTGTCAGTGCGTGACTGTGAGCATGTGTCTTGTGTGACGGGGGTTTTTTTTTTTTTTTTGGATTGTTTCGTCCCTATAAACGTGTGGCGCGTGGTGTGCTGTAATCATCGTCATCGTCGTGATGCTTCTCGTTGGAATGTGGGAGACGGACATAGTCGAGAGTTGTTGTAGCCGGTGTGCTGCTATTGTTACCACACATCCTCGTCCGCTGATGCTTTGTGCTGCTGGGTGTGTCGGCAGACGGCGTGCCCAAGCGTGCAAAGCGCACCATGCTTGACTTTGTGGCCAAGGACACAGCACCCAGCACATCCCCAACACGCCGAAGGTACGACCAGCCTAACGCGCAGTGTATGCGAGTGTTCGGGGGAGGGAGAGAAGAGGAATGTGGTGGTGTGTGAGTGTGCGTGTGCGTGTGCGTGTGCATGTGCATGTGCGTGCGAGAGTGTGGGTGTGTGGGGGGGGGGTGTACGTGTGTGGGTGTGTGCTTGTGTGAATGCAACCGAGGTCTCATGCACGCGCGTGTGCACATACCGGCACACAGTGGAAGGAACGTTGTGCAGTACAAGACGGGGGATCTTCTCAAAGCAACCGAACAGTGCATTGCACACCAATGCAACGCCGTCTCAACATACGCGAAAGGTGCGCACGTGTTCGTTTGCATGTTCGTGTGTAGGAACGACGCGGGCTTATTGGTGGCCGTGTTTCATGTCGCCGATCGTGGCTGCTTCAGTAGCATTTCGCAATCACACTCGCACACACGCACACGTATGCACACATATGCACACATACACACGTACGCGCATGCACACATGCACACGTGCACGTAAGTGATCAATGCTCCATCCCCCCCCCCTCCCCAATTTGCAGGCTTGTCAAAGGTGATCTTCAGTCGGTATCCACAAGCGGATCTGTACACGAAGCAGCACAAGCAAGCGAGCAAGAAGAGCAAGCCCGGCACAACGCAGTTCCATGCAGGCAAGCCGCATTGCGTGATCAACATGGTGGCCCAGCGCTCCCCTGGTCGCCCGCGCGCGTCTGAAACCGCAGAGCAGCGGCTGGAATGGTTCAAGGAGTGTCTTGCCAAGATTGCCGCCAACAAGGACATTGAATCCGTCGCCTTCCCCTACATGTGAGCACCGCACGCTCGGGACTTGCTTTGTTCCTGCTGCCCTTGTTGCTCGTGTCGTGGTTGCGCGCTATTGCGAAAGTGCTGTAATGGCGGTTGCATTTTCGCACACGACGCAAGCACACATGCACACACATGCACACACATGCACACACATGCACACACATGCATCCTCACACACTCTCACATACACGCACACGCGCGCAGGATTGGGTGTGGCCTCGCTGGTGGCAAGTGGGAAGATTACAAGGCAGCCATTGCTTCGTTTGCTGCACGCAATCCTCACATCCAAGTCGCCATCTACAAGCTGCCAGCATAACTGCACATGGCACTGCTTTCTTCCTTTGATGGCACTTTCTTGTGTTGTTTTATGTATGTGTGTGTTGTGTTGTGTTGCGTTGTGTGTGCGTGTGTTGTACGTGTGCGTGTGTGTGTTGTGCCGCTACACTGTGCGATATGCGACTGATGCGTGTAGAATTGAACCGTTTACAGTGTAACCGATGATGATGATGATGATGATGATGATGATGATGATGATGGTGGTGGTGGTGGTGGTGGTGGTAGTGGAAAACCTGCCGTTTGTTCGAAACGACAACATCAAACACAGCACATTAGACAACTAGCAACAAACACAACACATAACACGTGTAGAGAGCAAAAGGAACATGTGGCATCACACCTTAAACATGATCACTACCGAAACACGCACGTGCACACCCACCCACACACCCACACATGCACACATGCATACACACGTCAAGAAGAGCCAGGCCAGGAGCAGACACAGCGCGGCATCAATCCCTGTGGAACGGGCGCTGCAACTTGATGGTCTTGCGATCAAACTTGCGGACAACTGCAGCACGGCCCGTCTTCACCGTTCCTTCTGCACATGGACACGCACGAGAGAGAGGCGGGGGTGGCGGTGGTAGGGAGAAAACAGAGGGTAAGGAGAAAGTAGAATGAGTTAGCGCACGCATAAAAATCGTGTACACACACAACAACAACAACAACAACAACAACTACAACAACAACAACTACAACAACAACAACAACAACAACAACAACAACAACAACAACAACAACAACAACAACAACAACACCTTGCCCATGCGGTATACATGTTCCCCGCAACAGCAACCACACCGCCAACCAGCACAAGCACAAGCAGCAGCAGCAGCAGCACGACGTACTGTTCTGGTATGCGGCGCGTTCCGCTGCGGAGTTGATGAGCGAAATGCCGGCGTCTTTGTCCGCCTTCGACTTTGCTCTTTCTTGCAGAAACGCATCCAGCCAACGTTCTTTCTCCTCGTCTGACTTGGCGCATAGGATGTACCTGGTGCAGTGGCCGTGGGTGGGGATGAGTGCAGCACAACGAATAACCAGCGTACAACCGCAGCAACAACCACAACACAATACAATACAATCACTCGTATGAACACAACCATGACCACAATCGCAACTCAATACAATACTCGGGCAACCGCACCAAGCGTACACACACACACACACACACACACACACACACACACACACACACACACACACACACACACACACACACACCACTTGTCCTTCTTGTCGTTCTTGATTTTGATGGCGTGGCGCAGGGGTGTTTTCTTAAAGTGATCAGTGTCGTCTGGCATGTTGATGATGGACATGTTGTCGGTGAAGATCTTCCCCTTCACCACAAGCGCACCCTGCGTAGCAACAACAGTACGGCCGCGCCAGGTGTGAGTGGAGATCACGTGGGCAGATAGATGAAAGAGAGAGAATGGGTGAGCGAGCATCGGTGAGGAAGCATTTACAAGCAAGTATAAATGCCTTTGTACCAATTCGTGTCTCGAACAACAGCAAAAACAGGGGCAAGTAGCTCCAAGCAAGCAAGCAAACACCACATGCGTACCTTGAGTGAGCGCTTGCAATAGATCATGAGGTTATCAAACAGGTAGAAGTAGCGCTCCTGTGCACTCCGCCCCGAAATCTGCACGAGACGTGCGTTGTGAGGACAATGAGCAGGCGTAGCCAGACATGAGAGAACATGGTTAAACTGTGCTCATCACAACGCACTCGCAAGGACGACGACAACAACAACAACTTAAAAAAACCAACTTAAACAACAACAACAACTTCACCAACAAATAAACAACTTAAACAACAACAACAACAGCCGGACCTTGACGAGCGGGCCGTCGTGAATGAGCTGCGTGCTCCACGTGGCGATGTCGGGACCCGTCCAGTTCTCGAGACTCCGCTGCAGGCGATCAAGCTCCTCTTTGTGCCGCCGGTCGTCGTTGATGGTCGCAGCCATCGCCTGAACACATTTGTAAACAATGTCACACACGATGCATCCACGCAGATATGCGCATGCAGGAAGGGTGGGTGATGGAGGTTGTGAGGACGTTCAAGATACACCAAGTGCTCCGTGACTATCAGTCGTGCACATGTGAAGGCGCACAGAACGACACACACACACACACGCACACACACATCCACACACACACACGTGTGTGTGTAAACGCACCTCCATCTGTGTGAGAGCCTGGACAGCGTTTGCGTGATCGGGGTGGTTCTCCGGGGTGTACTTGACAAGCTGCTTGAGGAGAAGCGGGTAGCGGCACACGCGCTGCACGGGCTCAAGCAGGAAACCGGGCAGCTCAAGTTCATTCTCGCCCATGATCAGGCGGCAGCCCTCAAGGAACGACTCAATCTGCACACACACGCAGGGAGAGAGAGGTAGACAGACAGAGAGAGAGAGAGAGCACGCAGGTATGCATGGAACGAAGTGGCAAAGACATGTGACGTATGAGCAAATGTGCAGAAAATAAAGGCGTAACAACCACACTCACACCGGCAATCTCGGCGTACACACACGCACACACACACACACACACACACACACACACACACACACACACACACACACACCAACGCACAACACACACACACCAACGCACAACACGCGAATGTACACCGCGAGCACACTACATCTTCCACCCCCCCCCATGTGTCTCTGCCACCACTGGAACGGGACCTGGATGTCGCCCTTCTGCACGGCGTCAAGCTCCTGCGTCGCCTTCTGGTGGTTGTTGCAGTAGATGGAGTACGCCTTGAACCGCTCAGAGTGGTTCGCAAAGCACAGGCCAACAGCTGCAGTGGAAACGCACGCGTGCATGCAAAACAGCAGCAGGGCAACGTGCATGCGAAGAAAGCAACGTAATGAGCTCGAACCATTGGCACGCGCGTATGCATACGACACAATCAAGGTCGCTTCACACCCGACTTCGGACATCACGCGCACAGCACAAGCAGATGCACACAACATTGTTGATGCCGCAGCGGCAATGCACGACCCGTGTGCTCACCGTCGTTTTCCGCCGCTGGGCGCAGTTCCCGCAGAAACTTCTCGTTGAGCTGGTGGATCTGCTCAATGTTGCCGAAGATGACGTTGATGCTCTGGACACACAGAGAGAGACAGAGAGTGTGTGTGGGGGGGACGTGTGAGTGAGTGAGCGGATGGGTGTCGTAAGCATTTTGTCAGAGTAGCATGGTGCAACCATGAATCCGAGCAAGGAATGTATGTATTCCACCCCTTAGCATGTTAACATGTGCGTGTATTCCGGTTGATGATATGATCACCTCTTCGTCGAACAGCTGCCCGATGCGTTGCCGCATTGGAATGACATAACCCGTCACAACCTTTGCCAGCTTCGACACATAGTCCTGACATTGAGAAAAGTGAGGGAAGGAGACGGAGACAAACAGACGCGGGCCACAAATGCGGCGAGCAACGCTTGAAGTGTGAGCACTGAAGAAACAACGGTGGTGTGCTTGTTCCTCCACATGGTGTGGTGTGTGATGCGTGGGTAGCTCGAGCTCTGTGACCTGAACGACAATCATCGGCAGCAACACGACGGAATCATGCACAGCAGAGCGATACAATGACACAAACCTCTTCTGTCTTGACAATCTCTGCAACGACATTCTTGCGCTTCTCTGCCATCTTTTCCCTGAAGGAACAAACACAAATGGCGCATGATGGGCATATGAGTTGTTGCGCATGCCAGAGACAGCTTCAACATCAACCGACACCAACCGACACAGGCAAAGTAATGTTACGGCCAACACCAGCCAGGTAACTGCCAACACCAACCAACACTCGCCATGGGCAACGAGGGACGTACACATGCGGGTCGAGGGCGCGCTGCAGCTGCTGCTGTTGCATATCTTCGACTGTCGCGTCGTCGTCTTCCAGCAGCTTCACATACGACGCAGGGAACCAACCTGGCCACGACACAGCACGCACGTGCATGCAGAGGGAAATGCAATGAGACGTGGGCAAGCAAACACATGCTGTCGTCGACCTCAAGGTGATAGCAGAGGGCAACCCCCATGAGATGTCTGTGCCACCACACACACACACACACACACACACACACACACACACACACACACACACACACACACACACACACACACACGCACACAACACACAACACCCAACATGCAAACACATACATACGCACACACAATACACACCTTCGTGTTCGCCAATAGCGCCAGACCACCAGGGATCGTCCTCTTCGCAGCTGAGAATCTCGATGGTGTCGCCCGCATGGAACGACAGCTCAGAGTCGGACGTCGCTGCAAAGTCGTACAGCGCACGCGCATACAGCGGCTGTTGCGCACGTACGCGTGATGTGTGGAGAAGTGTAAGTGCACAAACAGGGAGAGCAGTGCAACGCATGCATGCGGACTGTTAAGGGCCCACCACCAACAACGCCAACAAAGGGGGCAGGTCACACCAAATTGCGCTACAGCAGCTCACCTCCTCCTCATCAAACTCGTCGTCGTAGTCTGCTGCCGCCTCCTGACTGTCGACCATCATCGCTTCCTCCTCATCATCATCTGTGTTGCCTTCCTCACCCACATCACCCGTATGCACGTGCTCATCCGCTGGCTCGCCCTTGCTCTCCCCTTCTTGCTGCGGTTCTTGTTGGTGCTGTTGCTGCTCTTCCTCTTGTTGCTCCTCCTCTTGTTGCTGCTCTTGCTGTTGCTGCTGCTGTTGCGGTTGGGTGTGTGAACTGCTGTCATCTCCTTGAGCAGCAAACGGATTCATGGCCGAAAAACCATCCCCCCTGCACGCACACCACACACATATGCACATACACACGTACGGGTATGAGCATGCGACAGGAAGACAAACAGTGTCAGACACATCAGAGAGTGCCTTGGCAACAAGGTGTAGCGACTGACATTGCAACTGAGATGGGTCGGCTGCGCGGTTTCGACTGGCGATTCCATGATGGCGCTGTTGTTTCCGCCTGTTGTACACACACAAACGTACAGAGAGGTGGGGAGAAGACGTGAGGAGTGCGAGGATCATCGAACACTCACGACACACACACGCACACATATGCACACACACGCACACAAGCTTGCTACCTGCTGTTCGCTGGGCTGCTGCTGCTGTTGCTGCTGTTGCTGCTGCTGCTCAGCAGGTGTTGAAACTGTGTCTTCATCGGTGGATGTCTCCGCCGTGTGTGCACGGACGTAATCGCACGGGAAGAACCCACATCGTCCTGGCAAGGAACAGTCACGGCGAGTCACAGACGTACACGAGCCAACACGTAAGCTGCATGCACGTGTACTCACGTGCACACATGCAAAGATGTACGCATGCACACATGCTTACAATCGCGCGCGCACACGCATGCACACACGCACAAACAAACGCATGCACTCACCCGTGCATTCCCCAAACCACCATGGGCAGGATGGATTGTTATCAATGACATTCACGAGATCTCCGGTGCGCAGTGCAAGCTCGTCCGCCTCCTGCCATCACGCATACAACAAGACGCGTGAGCAACTTGGAATGCACGCAGGGAATACACACGTGCACACGTGCAGGTACGCACACGTGCAGGTACGCACACCTGCACACACACACACACACTCACGAACACACGAACACACGAACACGCACGCACACACACACGCACACACACACACGTAGGGATTTGGTGACTTACGGTGCCATCAAAGTCGTGACATGCCACTGCTTGGAATTTGACAGCGTATGTCTGTCCAGACACCTAACACACAGAGAACAAGTCACCATGGAATGCCATGCAATCAGCATATATTGCGCCAGGTTCAGTCATGAGTGCAGTCATGCTCAGACTTTTACACATGCAGCACACATGCACACACACACACACACGTGCGCACACACGCACACGTGCGCACACCTGGACGTTCTTGGGTGGCTCGCCCAATTGCAGCAGCTTCTGTTCAACAGATGCCGCTGTTGTTTCTGCTGCCGTTGTGTGCTCTTGCTGCTGCTCAGCGTGGCCACCGGCTGTTGTCTCGGCATCTGCGTTCGCCTCAGCCTCCACAGGTGCGTTCTGCTCAGGCCCAGACTGCTCATGTTGTATGCTTAGTTCGTGTGCTGCCGCTGCTTCCTCCTGTGCTGTCTCCGCCTGGGTCTTTACCTCCGCGCCCTCAACCTGGCTCTGTTCGCCAGACTGTTCTGCTTTCTCCCTTTCCTCCTCCCCCTCTCGTCGTTCTCTCTTTTGCTCTTGGTCTTCGTCGTGTTCTTCTCTCGTGTCAACGGCTGCTGCCTCCTCATCGGCCTGCTGCTGCTGCTGCTGCTGCTGCTGCGCCTGCTGCTGCGCGATGTCGGCCTCGTCCTGCGCTGGCTGCACAGCTTCATCGAGCTGCTCGGGTTGGAGTTCCTCCTGTGCATGGTCGGTGTTTGCAACAGCTACCTCTTCACTCGGCTCAAGCTGCTGCTGCTGCTGCTGCGGCCGCTCTTCCTTTTGTTGTTCTTCTTCTTGCTGCTGTTGTTCCTCCTCTTGCTGCTGCTGCTGCTGCTGTTGCGTGTGTGGTTCATCTGCAGGGGGCTGTGCTGCGTCTTGTGTACGTGCTCTCGGCTTTGGCAGCCCAACCATTGACAAGGGTCTCGACGAAGGCCCACGTCGCTGCTGCTGCTGCTGCTGTTGTTGTTGTTGCTGCTGCTGTTGCTGCTGCTGTTGCTGCTGTTGATTGATGAGCGCTTCAAAGGGGTTGGCAATCCTGCCTGGCGTCCGCCTTGGCGGCTCAGCCTTCTTGCTGGCCTGTGCAGCTTGCCCTGTGAACACAGACGGGATTTTCAGTCGAGACTCCGACTTGCGCTTTGAAGGCAAAGGGGCCGTTGTCTCCTGAGATGCGGGTGATGATGCGGGGGAAGATGAAGGTGGCAGTGGCGGTGTCCTCACAGGTCTCGCCGTGGCGCTGCTCTGTGACGGCGGCTGGGGTTGTTGATCTTGCAGCTGCCTCTGTTGCTGCTGATGCTGCTTGACCTCGAGCAAGGCTGTTCGCAACGCAGTCTCGTCCCCTTCTGCCAGCGCCTTTGACAGGCGCTTGAGCTTGTCTGGTTTGCTTGGCGGCGCGGGTCGCGGTCGTGCTGTAGGTTTCATGGGCGACGACAATGATGATGACGATGACGACGAGGATTGCTCCTGCGGTGTGGGCGTCATGGCGGCGGCAGCAAATGGGTTTGTTGATCGCGGTGCACTGTGCTGCGTGCTGCTTGTTGCTGCTGTTGCTGCCGTGGATGCTGCCGTGGATGGTGTTGTGGATGGTGTTGTGGATGCCGTTGTGGTCGAGGATGACGTTGGATGAGCACTGGATGTTGCCAGATGCGCTGGCTTGACTGGCAATCGCGGCTTCTTGGCCTGCAGGCTGGAAGGTTTGTGTGGCAGTGGGGGTTTCTGGGTCCCGTGCCCAGCTGGCCGGGTGCCAGACGACCTTGGTGGAGGCAGTGGCATCCTCCCCCTTCTCTTTCCTCTATCTCTCCTGTGCCTCGTTCCTTATCCTGCGAGCCGCCACCAAACCAAACCAATCAACGTACACCCTCAAAGCCAACAACAACAACAGACTCTCGCGCAGCAGTGTCAGTCTCTCCGTTGCTTGTCTCGGCTCTGCGCCAGTTCACCGCCGCGCAAACAACAACAACAAAACCCGGACGGTGGATAGGGACGATTGCCGTGTTTCGCACAAACCTCACAGGAAATGCGCGACTAATGCGCACTCATCTTCCCCACCACTGCACCACCAAACCAAACGAACACACACAGCAACCAGCCAAGATGGTGAGTGAGCGAGCATGAGCCGAGTGTCTGTTACTGGCAGTGGCAGCGTTGTGCCGCACATGCGTGCGTGCCTGTGTGTGTGTGTGTGTGTGTGTGTGTGTGTGTTGTATGTGGGCGTCCTCGTTTGTGCGCTGCTTTGGTTGCTGATTCCACAACTGCGTCATCCTTGCTTGTCGTGTGGCAGACGGATATCACAGCTGTTCAGGAGCGGGATGTCACCAAAGTGGACCGCATTGGTGAGTGAGCGGCACGCGTACGCGTGCGTGCGTCTGTGTTGTGTTGTGTGGGAATGCCTGCATTTGTGTCTGTGTGTATATGTGTGTTCATGTGCGTCTGTCTTTCTGTCGCACACACTCACTCACACACTCACTCACACACTCACTCACACACACACTCACTCACACATACACACTCACTCACTCTCGCTGTGCCACGTTGGGATGTGCGCCAACTTGACTCGATACTTAACCACATTCTTCTTTGATCAGGTGCGCACTCGCACATTCGCGGCCTCGGTCTCGATGACACGCTCGAGGCGCGTAAGGTGTCCCAGGGCATGGTCGGCCAAGACAAGGCCCGCCGCGCCGCCGGTATCATCTTGGAGGTAAGAAGATCTCTCCCCCCCACTCGCTCATATGCAACCTGTGCGTGTGTGGTATGAGTGCTTGCTTGGTGGGACTGCTTGCTTATCGCACACAAATGGCGTCATTGTTCATGCGCACACAAATACACACGCGCTCATTCGCATCCAAACTCGAACATACTCCCTCGTGGCTGTTGTTGACTGTGCAGATGATCAAGGAGGGCAAGATTGCTGGTCGCGCCATTCTGCTTGCAGGTCAACCGGGTACAGGCAAGACCGCCATCGCCCAGGGTGAGTGTTTGTGCGCTTCACACATCGTGCATGTGTCTGTGTCTGTGTCTGCGCCTGTGTCTGTGCCTGTGCCTGTGCTTGTGTCTGTCCGCTGCATGTCTGTGTAGTGGGCTGGTGCTCCACCAGAAGCTGTGTTTGTGGGTGAGCCGATTCACGTACGCCCGCAACTGGCACGCTTGTGATGAATGCAGCCGTCTCCAAGGCCATGGCCAAGGACGTGCCCTTCACAATGCTCGCCGGCTCGGAGCTCTACTCACACGAGATGAGCAAGTCCGAGGCCCTCACACAGGCCTTCCGCCGCAGCATCGGTGTCAGAATCAAGTGTGTACCCGTGCGTTGTGCGCCAGGCGATGAAGCATGCGGTTTGTGTTCATCATAGCTAGAAAGCCCCTGTGCCTCCCACTCTCTCACCCCGTGCTCGTGTTTTCCGTGTGTTGTGTTTCTTCACTCCTTTCCCTTTGTTGCTCCCAGGGAGGAGACAGAGATTATTGAGGGTGAAGTGGTCGAGGTGCAAATTGACCGCCCAGCAACAGGATCGGTACGGCACACGCATGTACACACACGCACACGCACACACACACACACACACACACACACACACACACACACACACACACGCACACACACACGCACGCACACACACACACACACACGCGCGCGCGCACTTTCGGTGCAGCTGTGCCACGTGCCATGCGCCATGTCACCTCGCCCTCTCCATAGCCGTGGGATGGTGCGGTGCAACACCCAAACTCACACGTCTGCCGCCACATGTCGCTCACCCCTTCTGCCGCATGCTTTGGTTTTGGTTGTGTTGGTAGGGCCAGAAGGTGGGCAAGCTGACGCTCAAGACAACAGAGATGGAGACGATTTATGACCTGGGAACAAAGATGATTGAGTCCGTGATCAAGCAGAAGGTCGCTGCTGGGTAAGCTGCTTCGGCCATGCACGTACACATGTGTACACATGTGCACGTGTACATGTGTACATGTGTGTGACTGCGTGCATAGTCTCTTATGCACCCAAATGCACAGTCCTGCAGTGACAACTGCTTACTGCTTCCTTGTAGTGTGTGTGCGGCGATTTGTTCACTCGAATCTTCATGTGGCGTTCACAGCCATCCCATTCATTGGCGCGCGCAGCGCTCCTTTTCACAACGTACACACGACAACATGCACACTCTGTCTCATCACACGCTCACTTCCTTGCCCACTTTGCAAATTTGCCCCCCTCCTCCTACCTGTGTGCACAGGGATGTGATCACAATCGACAAGGCATCTGGCAAGGTGACGGTGATTGGCAAGTCGTATGCGCGTGCGCGGGACTACGATGCCATGGGCCCGCAGACCAAGTTTGTGCCCACGCCGGAGGGCGAGCTGCAGAAGCGCAAGGAGGTTGTGCACACCGTCAGCTTGCACGAGATTGACGTCATCAACAGCCGCTCCCAGGGCTTCCTCGCCCTCTTCTCTGGTGTGTGTTTGTCATGTGTGTTTGTCATGTGTGTGTGTGTGTGTGCATGCATGTGTGTTTTGTGTGTGTGTTTGTCATGTGTGTGCATGCATGTGTGTTTTGTGTGCGTGCTTGTGTGTTATGTGTGTGCGCATGTGTGTTTTGTGTGTGTGTGTGTGTGTGTGCGCAAGTGTGTTATGTTTTTGTGTGTGCAGGTGTGTTATGTACAGATAAGCACGCTCCCGTGTGTGTCACAAGCACGCACACTTTGCGCGGTCGTTTGTGCTTACCCTCTCCCCTTTCGCTCACTCACAACACTCCGGCCCCAAACCCAACCCGCACACGCTCTTCAGGCGACACTGGAGAGATCAAGCCTGAGGTGCGCGAGCAGATCAATGCCAAGGTTGCCGAGTGGCGGGAGGAAGGCAAGGCGGACATTGTACCCGGCGTGCTCTTCATTGACGAGGTGCACATGCTGGACATTGAGTGCTTTGCGTTTCTCAACCGCGCGCTGGAGAACGCGATGGCGCCCGTGCTGATTATGGCGACGAACCGTGGCATCACCACCATCCGCGGCACAAACTACCAGAGCCCGCACGGCATCCCGCTCGAGTGCGTTTAAACAGAGGGAACGAGGAATGGTCGTGCTGCACGTGTACGTGTGTGAATGTGCATCGGTGCACACGTTGGTGCGCAAGTTTTGCACGCGCACACTCACTGCATTTCTTCTTTCTCACACCAACCCTGTTTCACCACCATCAACTCCTGTCATAGTCTGCTTGACCGCACGCTGATTGTGCCGACCGTCGCGTACAAGCCATCAGAGCTGTCACAGATTCTGAAGATCCGGTGCGAGGAGGAGGATGTGGACATGGCTGACGATGCGCTTGAGCTGCTCACCAGCATTGCTGCAAAGACGTCCCTCCGCTACGCCATCCAGCTCATCACCACCGCCAACCTCGTCTGCAAGCGCCGCAAGGTGCGTCGTGGGAGTGACAGTGACAGTGAGGGGGGTGTATTCGTGTTTGTGGACGTGTGCATGTGTGTTTATGTACATGTGTGCGTGTGTGTTTGTGTGCATGTGTGTGTTTGTGTGCATGTGTGTGTTTGTGTGCATGTGTGCATGTGCGTGTGTGTGTGTGTGTGCCTATCCCAGTGTTCCTCTTGCTTATGACTGACTTGTTCTCATTGCTCTCTCTGCAGGGGCTTGAAGTGGAGAAGGGGGACCTTCGCCGCGTGTACACACTCTTCCAGGACCTGGTGCGTTGCCATACAGAGCACCGTGTCATGCTTGGCTTTTGTGTGATTTCTTGCCGCTGCCTTTCTCACGACTGACAACCAAACCACCGCTGCTACTTGGTGCATGCAGGAGCGCTCTGTGCACTTCCTGCGCGAGTACCAGGCGCAGTTCCTGTTTGACGAAGGGGAAGTTGCTGCTGCCCCTGCTGCCGACGTTGCTGCACTAGCGCCCACGACGGCCGCGGGCTCAACCACCGCCGCCACCATGGATATGGGTGGTGACGACGATGACGACGACGATGACTTGTAAATGCCAGCAGAAACGCGCGCTCCATGCGCCTGCATTGTCTTGTTGTTGGGCCGTGTGTCTGGGTCTGTGTGTGCGTATGTGAGTGAGACAAAGGAGGTTATGAGAATGTGTGTGTGTGTGTGTGCTTGTGGCTTGTGTGTGGATGTGCGCATGTTGTGAAAGCAATGCCTGTGGCTTTCCTGGTGTGACTTTGGTTGTGTGGTGAGGGCTGCTGCTGGTGCCTCCACAAATACAACCACAGCGACACAAAGGAGAGACGCATGCGTGAAAGGAAGCCACCCCCCTTTGCCTGTCCCACACACGCGTACACGCACATGCATTCATTCACCTCTCGAGAGGTTCACATGTCACACACCAGCAGCGCAAGGTGGCACCAACACAAACAACACAAACTCGACAGCACAAAATCGCTCTGGTTGCCAAGGCCAACAACAACTCCTCGCTCCTCCCGAGACTGACAAGTACCACTCTCATTCCTCCTCACTTGACTTCCTACTTCAAGACAGCCGTTCGATCCCCCGCTACAACCGCCATGTCCGAGAACGTGAAAGTCGCGGTGCGCGTGCGCCCGTTCAACAAGCGCGAGAAAGAGCGGCAGGCGCAGCTGTGCATCCAAATGTCTGGGCAAACCACGACCATCACCAACCCGCACTCGAAGGAAGAGAAACGATTCACCTTCGACTTCTCCTACTGGAGCCATGACGGCTTTGAGGAGCAGAGCGATGGGCTTCTCGTCCCCACTGGCGCCCAGTACGCCGATCAGCAGCGCGTCTTCGAGGATCTGGGCCGTGGCGTGCTTGCCAACGCCTTCAACGGCTTCAACACCTCCCTCTTTGCCTACGGCCAGACGGGTTCCGGCAAATCTTACAGCATGGTCAGTCACACTGCTGATAGCGGTGCCTGTCTGTGTGCGTGTGTGTGTGCGTGTGTGTGTGTGCGTGCGTGTGTGCGTGCGTGTGTGCGTGCGTGTGTGCGTGTGTGTGTATGTGTGCGTGTGTGTGTATGTGTGCGTGTGTGTGTATGTGCGCGTTTGTGTATCGCTCTGGCTGTCTCCCCGATCGCTAGGTCTGTCCGCCTCCTCTCTCTATCCCCCTTTCCAAACCTCCCTGCCCCGCTCTCCCGCCTTTTCGCTCGCACTCTTCTCTTATCACCTCCACCCTGCTCTCTTCCCTGCCTCCCCGTTTCTTTTCATGTCCCATGCAGGTCGGCTACTCTGTGAACAAGGGCATCGTGCCCATTACATGTGAGGAGCTGTTTAAGAAGATGAACGAGAACTCCGAGAACTCTAGCACCCGCTACCAAGTCAAGTTCAGCATGCTGGAGATCTACAACGAGAAAGTGCGCGATCTGCTGCAGCCGCCACAACAGCAGCAGAAGGGCGGCCTCCGCGTGCGCGAGAACCCAAAGTCGAAGAAGTTTGAGGTCGTCGGCCTGAAGCTGGTCGACGTCAAGTCGTACAACGAGATTGAGACGCAGATGGAGCTTGGCACAAAGCACCGCACCGTCGCCGCAACCAAGATGAACAACACATCCAGTCGCGCCCACACCATCGTCACCGTCCTCTTTGAGCAAATCACAAAGGACGAGAGTGGTGTCGAGACAACCAAGCGCTCAGAGATGAACCTTGTATGTGATGGGTGCAAATCTGTGTGTCTAAATCTCTCTGTCTGTATGCTTTTTATGTCTGTATGTCTGTGTGTCTTCGTATCTGTGTGTTTGCGAAGCCGATGCAGCGCCCCTCAGCCCCTCAAACGCGCACACACACATACGCACAAAAGCGCGCACTCACACATGCACACACTCACACATGCACACACAAACGCGCGAATATCAGGTCGATCTTGCTGGTTCGGAGCGCGCAAACAGCACCGGTGCGACTGGCGAGCGCCTGAAGGAAGGATCCAACATCAACAAGTCCCTGAGTACGCTGGGAAAAGTCATCCAGGCCCTGGCAAAGGGCAAAAACTCGTTTGTGCCGTACCGTGAGTCTGTGCTGACGATGCTGCTACGCAATGCGCTTGGCGGCAACTCCAAGACCATTATGATCGCCGCGCTGTCGCCGGCCGACATCAACTATGACGAGACACTCTCCACGCTGCGCTACGCAGACCAGGCCAAGCAGATCAAGAACAAGGCCGTGGTGAACGAGAGCCCGACGGAGAAGCTGATTCGCGAGCTGAAGGAGCAGATTGAGGAGCTCAAGTCCCAACTCGGCGGAAAACCGATGCAGCCGTCGTCCTCACAGGGCGCCGGCGCCGCTGACGCCGACCAAGCCCTCCTGTACGTCGAGCGCGTTTGTGTGTGTTGTGTGTGTTGTGTGCGTGTGTATGTGTGTGTGCGTGTGCGTGTGCGTGTGTGTGTGTGTGCGCGCGCGTGTGTGTGTATATCTGTGTCTGTGCCTGCCTGTATGTTTCTATGTGTGTGATGGTAGTTGGCCTTGGCCACTGCGTTCCTCATATCTAGGATACACAACTCACTTGCGTGGCTGCGATGCTCACACTCTCTTCATGCACATTTGCCATCCTTTCCCCCACTCCCTGCCCCATCGCCCTATTCCTTGGCCTCCTGTGCTGTGTTCAACGGCAGGGCGCGTATGCAAGAGTTTGAGCGGCAGATGGCGTTCCAGGCAAACGTGGACCAGGGCGGGCAGCCCGAGGCACAGCAGTCCACGGAGCCATCGATGCACGAGAAGGAGAAGCAGAAGAAGGCAACAACGGCCCACTTCACCAACCTCAACGAAGACCCTGCCCTCTCCCACATCATCTGCCACTTTGTGGACCAGCCAGAGATGGTTGTGGGCCAGGATGAGGATAGCGCTGCCGCCAGCGAGGAGGGCGGTGGCGAGGGTGGTAACTACATCCACCTCACCGGATTCGGGATCCGCAAACGCCACGCAGTCATCACCATGGACGGTAGCGATGTCTTTATCGAGCCAGGATCTGCCGCGTCCAACACACGAGTCAGTGTGCACGTGTGCATGCGTTTGTGCGTTTGTGCGTTGGTGTGCATGCGTTTGTGTGCGTGCGTGTTTGTGCATGCGTTTGTGTGCGTGTGTATTTTTGTTTGTATGCAAGCTTGTCAGTTTCATTGCCTGGTCTTCGTTGTTCCCGTTTAGCCACAGCCTGGCAAGCTTCTTTCAACTCCCAGCGCACACCTCACTGCGTATTGCATGGACACCACATTGACGTGTCCCACAGGTGAACGGCACCCAGCTGACGGAGAAGGTGCCACTGAAGCACAACGACCGCCTGTTGTTTGGCACCAACTCCATTTTCCTGTTTGTCAACCCCGCCAACCAAGATCCGAGCGCGGGCACGCCAGAGAAGGTGGACTACGAGTTTGCCCAGGAGGAGATTGCAAAGGCGAGCGGGCTGCTTGTTGAGGGCGGTGATGCAGAGGAGAAGGAGCGAATGTCACAGATCCTTGAGCTCTTTCCCATGGTCGCCGAAGTCAACGCTATCAGGTGCTGTACACGCTGCGGTCGTGGAAATTGTTCCTCAGTGGGATCGATGCGCGGTGTATTATGGATGTGTGATATCGGGAGATGGATTCAGGCTGCGGCTGTGGCTGTGTGTGTGTGTGTGGCTGTGTTTGGCTGTGTGTGGCTGTGTGTGTGTGTGTGTACATGTGCATGTGTGCACTTGTGGACGCATGTGCATTTGCGAGTATGCGAAGCACAGGCAGACAAATGTGCGCCTTGTTTTGCTCATTGACTCTACGTGCATGTCCCCCCTCGACACTCATCATGTGTGTGTGCTTGAAACAGCGATGAAATGGACAAGAAGATGAAGTTTTCTGTTGCACTCGTCAACGACATGATGTTGCCGAACGCAAGCACCGTACGTGATTCTCCCACACATGCTTGCATGAGATAGGTGGTGGTGTTGTGGAATGAGATGCTTGTGTCGCGTACTCATCCATGCGTCTGCAGCCTTCATCACACATCGGTGCCTTTATCGCTGCGCAAACACACACACACACTCACTCACACATACACATACACACACACAATTACACTCACACACACTTACACTCATACACACTCACACACTCTCTCTCTCACACTCACACACGTCTCGTACGCGTACGCTTATCGCACCCTGCCTACAGTCTGACCGATCGCAGGTGATGGTGAAGGCGGTGAACACGCGAAACGAGAACGAGTGGCTGATTGACCGCGCAGAGTTTGTTGATCGCCGCTACCGCATTCAGGAGATGTTTGGCGACTGGGCATACGACCAGGACAAGGACGCCTCTGTCTACGGCCCGCCGCGCAGCGACGTACGATGCGATTGTGGTGGTGCTGCTGATTGGAGGATGGACGTGTGCTAGTTGATCGGCGGTTGGAGTCAGAGCTGCATGCACTGTGTGTGTGTGTGTGCGTGCGTGTGTGCGTGCGTGCGTGTGTGCGTGCGTGCGTGTGTGTGTGTTGCGATGTGTGCTTGTTTTTGGCTGCATTCCATGGACACCATGACGCGCCGTGCTCGCTGTGTGCACGCAGTTCAGTTCTCACACCACGATTAATCATACCAACGCCACGATTACCACCACCACCACCACCACCACCACCACCACTTTGTCACCAGGCTGACCCGTTCTTTATTGAGCCGAGCTCGGTCGTGGTTGGCTTTGCCGGCATCTTTGTCGTGCCCCTCTCCCTGCGTATGGACTCCGAAGACACATACGTGCGTACCATGCAGCCCAAATGCATGTCTGTATGATCGTGTGTGTGTCTGTATGATCGTTTGTGTGTCTGTGTGTGTCTGTGTGTGTCTGTGTGTCTGTTTGTCTGTCTGTGTGTGCCTGTGTGTCTGTGTGTGTGTGTGTGTCTGTGTGTCTGTGTGTGTCTGTGTGTCTGTGTGTGTGATCGTGTGACGACATGCAGCCATGATCGAGCTCTTCGTAGTCTTTATTTATCCCTCATCACTGCTCATACGCACATCATCACCACACACCACCACCACCATCGACCTGTCCCCCTCCCTTCCGTTCCACGACGTGTAGGAGGCGCTTGACTACGCGGCCCAGCGGCAGGGCAGCGTCTGTGTTGCGCTCGAGCCGTGCCAGGAGGACGGCACGCCGCTGACGGAGGAGGACTTTCTGGACGATCCATCCGCCCTGATGCAACTCAACGAACCATACCACATCAAGGTTTGTTCGCAGCGGTGCGCGGCCCTTTTCCGTGCCGCTGGTGACAACTTTTTGATCATATTCATCCCTGCGTGTGCTTGCGATTTGACACCCTGGCAATCACGATCACACGCAAACGCGCACACGTGCATACATTGATTTACACTCATACACGCGCAAACACACACAATCACACACAATCACAGGTGATGATCCGGTGGGCGGAAGTGACACACGCGCGGTTCTCAACAGCGCTGCGGTGCGTGCTGTATTTCGGAGACCTCGATGTCATTCAGACGCCGTGGATGTATGGAAAGACAAAAGCGGACTTCAACTACGAGAAGATTGTGACCATCAACAAGGTCACGCCGGCGCTGATTGAGTGGATGGAGAATGGCATGGCAAAGGTCATCATCGAAAGCAAGCACAAGGACGACGAGAGCGTACGTTTGCGCCTGTGTGATGCTGTGTACGTGTCTGTGTCTGTGTGTGTGTGTGCACGTGTCTGTGTGTGTGTGTGTGTGTGTGTGTGTGCGTGTGTGTATAAGTCCTGTGTCGAATGTGTGCAAGTTGCGACGATAATGTGTATTCCATTCCCTCCCTCCACCTCACACGCCAATGCCCATCCATCCACCCGCTCCCTCACACGCCATCTATTTACACACCCTGCTGATTGAACCCTGTAGACGTCGTCGATCACACGGCTGACGTCGATGGCGGATATGGCGATGGAGTTGCAGGCTGCAAAGGACCGCATCAAGCAGCTGGAGGGCGGTGGTGATGGTGATGATGGTGGTGATGGTGGAAAGAAGAACTCGAAGAAGGATCGAAAGGCGTCTGCCAAGGCGGCGAAGGAGCTGGAGAAGGCGAAGAGCGAGCTGGTGGAGATGAAGAAGAAGGCGGAGGCGCTTGAGAAGGAGCTGTCTACAGCAAAGAAAGCAGCAAAGGGCGAGGGCGACCAGGAGAAGGAGCTGAAGAAGGAGCTGAAGGAGCGCGACAAGACCATCTCCAAGCTGGAGAGCGAGGTGAAGAAGCTGTCCAAGAAGGACAGCAAGAAGGACAGCGGAAAGGCAGGCGCCAACAATGCTGACGTGGACGCCGCCATCAAGGAGCGTGACGAGACGATTGCACGCCTGCAACGCGAGATGGAGGAGCTGAACAAGAAGGTGTCTGCTGCCCCAACTGGCGAAACGGTCGCTGTCGCCAACGTCGCCGCCGACGACCTTAAGGAATCAATCAAGACCGTTCTCAACGTGAGTTGGCGTTGTGTGTGTCTGTGTCTGTATGTGTGTGTGTGTGCGTGTGCGTGACTGTGTGTGAGCGTGTGTCTCTCTCTGTGTGTGTGTGTGTGTCTGTCTGTGTCTGTGTGTCTGTGACTGTGTGCGCCTGTGTGTGCATGTGTGCGTGTGCGTGCATCGATGCTTGCCTCTTCTTGCTGATGCCCATGCAACCACGTGCTGTCGTGCTGCAACCCTTCTCGTCTGCCCCTTACCCCCTCCTCGTCCCATTTTCATCATCTCATCGCTCACCACATCCTCCGCCCTGTCAACAGCAACACCGCAACGATGCTGACGCGCGCGCGCTGTGGACGGACGTCGCAACCAAAGTTGGCGCATCCACAGACGGCCCGCTTCCCCCCGCCAACAAACCGTCCTCCGTGTGCTCCATCATGTGATTTGTCGCACGTGCGTTGTCATGTGCATTCGCATTGCACTTGTTGTGCGTGCTCATATGGCTCTGTGCTGTGTCGTATGGGCCTTGTCTCGTTTTCCCCCCATTTAACACACGCACGCACAATTGTGGGTGTCTGTGCCGTGTTGTTCGTGCTTCCTCCTTGTTGTGGGTTCATGACCCTCCCTGTCTGTCTTGACTTCCTTGCCCCAGCTTCTCCTTCCCTTCAATCAACGCACTGGCTGCCTCCCCCCCCCCCTTGTCTTCTCCGCTCAACCACTCTTCTACACACCCGCTCCGCCCTTCCCTTCGTGCTGCTTCCACGCGTGAAAATAACACCAGTGACGAGCGCATATCATCATCGTCTGTTTACTGCTTGACGGAAGATTGTGGCTTCCCCTCAGGCATACATGTATCACAAAGAAACTGCTTCTCAACCTAATGGCAAACACTCCAAGCATCCTCCCTTCCCTTGCGTACACACACACTTCGCACACGCGCACACAATAACGCATGTACTGCCTGCAAACAAGTCTCGCTTACGCGGCCAATACAACCATGCACTACACGCACAAACGACAAGCACGAGCTGGGGATGGTGGTGCTGCTGCTGCTGCTCATCATCTCAGGTGGTCGTCGTCCTCTCTCCTAGCCGCACATGTCTGCTTGCTCGCCAAGGCAAAAGGGCTCGCAACCTTGCACCTGACACTCTCCCCGCCCTGTCATAGATCCAACGCCAACCAATCCCGTCATCCCCTTTGTTCTCCACCTTTTCTCTCTCTCTCTCTCTCCCTGTCTCTCGCACACACGCACGTACGCGGCAGTCACATCAAGTGCTGGCGATGGCTACTTCTTGAGGGACGCCCAGACGGACTTCATCTTCTTGAGCCACTTGCGGTGCTTGTGTTTCTTCATCTTCCTTCGTCGCTTCTTCAAGGTGGAGCTCATGAGCGCTGCCGCGTGCAAGGAGCCGATGGCATGTGTTTGTTCAAGGAGGCGGTGGTCCAGGCGGCACAGCCCTTCATCCTCTGCATGTGTGTGTGTGTGTGTGTGTGTGTGTGTGTGTGTGTGTGTGTGTGTGGAGACACAAGGGGGGGGATGGCGTGAGCTGGTCGCCATGTGTACATCATTCAGGTACGGGGCAATGTATGTGTGCACGCATTCGCAACAACAAGTGCTTCCTGATGCTTCGTTTTACGCACCCACGCACGCACACACACACACACACGCGCACACACACAACACAACACAACACAACACACACACAACACAACGCACACATACCTTGGAGGATGGCGCTGAAGGTAGAGGGAGGGACGGGTGCAGGGGAGGCGGATTCGAGGGTCTGGTCGACCGGAGGCGCTTGCGTGCGGTATTGCTCGGCCTGCCATGCCAGCAGATCGAAGCGCAAGGACGAGGACGGTGTTGTGTGCACGATGTTTGTGGATGCAAAGGACAGCCCTCGCTTCCCCGAGGACGACGCTGCGTCGATGACGTCGCCGCCGACGTGGGGGTGGCTGTCACTGTTGTCGCTGCTATCGCTGCTGCTCCTGTAATGCAGCATGGTGGAGCACGAGAACGCTCGTGCACTTGCCACCGCCGCCGCCGTAGCAGCGAGGCAACCCGGTGTCCTCCTCGTCATCGCCGCTGCTGTTGTAGCGGGGCGCAGCAGCGTCATCCCCCCGCGCATCGCACGCACAAACGCCATCGTGCTTTGCCTTGCTTGCCTTCCGCTCGCTCTGTGTGTGTGTCTCTCTCTCTCTTGCGTCGAGTCGTCGTGCTTTGGTTGCTGTCTGTGCTTGGCTTTTCTCGTCAGTGTTGGTATTGGTGTATGTTTCGTGTGAGCGTTTTGTGCACGAATGCAAATGCGCTTTTCGTATCCACCGCACACCACCATCAAAGACAGACAGCCAGGAAGGAAGGAACTGTGGATGAGTTGGCGACGTGAGCAGCAGCCGCAGCAGCAATAGCCATCCACACCCACACACACCCACACCCACACCCACACACACACACACACACACACACACACAGACACAACAGAGAGACAGAGAGGATGGAGGAGTTGAGGGAGTTGCAGCGATCCCATGAGCGCAAGAGCATGCGCATCGTGGCCATTGCCAGGCAGAACTGGAGCGCAGTCATGGGCAGCGGCGACGAGAGTGAGTGTTGGGCTTGCCAGTGCCTGCTCCTGTCGATGATGCGCCTCGATCCCAGCTGCATCGACAACACGCAGTCACGCGCACACACACACACACACATACAGCCATGCTCACAAGCATTCTCCCACGCCACTACGTGCGACACGTGCAGAGTGGGGCTTCTTGGAGCAGATCTTCACTGCGAGCTTGGACATGCCGAATGCAGAAGACGTGCGCAAGGTGCGTTCTGTCTCGTAGCTTGTCCTTTCCACTGCGCTTGCGTCGATTGCTCTTTCTGCTGGAGAAAAGCTCGCCCATCAAGAATGAACGGATAACGAAGGGGGTTTCCACAATGTTCACATGCCTGCAAGCTCACAGCTCTGCCGCATGTACACACACTCACACACACGCATGCACGCACACATGTGTGTAGAGATGCCTACAGGCGCTGGAGAAGCGGTTCCCCAACAGCCAGCGTGTGCAGCGACTTCAGGCGATGGGCTTTGAGGCCGACGGACAGTACGTCGTGGCCGTCTGGCTTTCTCTGTTGGCAGTGCGCGTGTCACTTGGTGCGTTGCAGGCTGCGTGCATATCTCATGGCTTGTTGTCGCGCGCGCGCGCGCGTGTGTGTGTGTCACTGTGTAGGTTTCAGAAAGCGCTTGATATCTACAACGAGATGCTGGAGGCTGATCCTCTCAACCCGGTGCGTTGTCTCAGCGAGTGCTGTGAGGAATGAGCGGTGGTGGCCGGCGGTGGTGTTGGTAACGGTGATGGTGGCAACGGTAGGGCTGCTTTAGTAGAGTACACACACATGCACACACACACATGCACACACACACACGAACACACACACACACACGCACACACGAACACACACACAAACACAAACACAGATATTCCCTGACCTGGCAAGTGCATGCCATTTGTTCACTCTCTTTTCCCACCTTGCCGCCTTGCTTCGTGCTTGATACAGGCGATCTTGAAGCGGAAGATTGCTGTTCATATCGGCAAGGACGACATTCCCCTCGCCATCACCGCCCTCAACAAATACCTGGAGCTGTAAGCGAGTGCCTGCACTTTTGCGCGCGTGCGTGTGTGTGTGTGTGCGTGTGTGTGTGGCCTCGTACAACTGCTGTTATTGTGTCCATTGTGCACTTCTGCTCACCACGCACTGTTGGTTGGTCGTGTTTGTTAGGTACTCGAGCGACTTTGAAGCCTGGCAGCAGCTGACTGACTTGTACATCGACACACAGGAGTGAGTTGTGACAGCCTGCTGCAGACACGACACGACACGCACACACATACACACACACACACGCATCTCTGATGCACTAACGCATTTTGTTCTGATCATTGACCTCACGCACGCATGCACACACACATGCACAGCTTGCAGAATGCGGCGTTTTGCCTGGAGGAGGTCATGCTGTCAAACCCACACAACCACGTCTACTACTGCACATACGCCGAGGTCAGCGTGTATCATGTGCGCGCAGCATGTCTGTATGTGCTTTGTGTGTCTGTATATGTCTGTGTATGTGTGGTGTGTGCGTGTGTGTGTGTGTGTGTTGGTAGTTCCGCGAGCTCGCTCAATGTGCGGTGGCCCATCCGTGGTGTTTGTTGTTTGTGTGTGCGGTGCAGGTGTTGTTTGCGCGTGGAGGAAGCGAGCGCATGACACAGGCCCGGCGCTACTTTGCAAAGGCCCTCGAGCTCAACCCAACAAGTGCACGCGCCCTCTACGGCCTTCACCTCGTAAGCACATGTGTCTGTGTCTGCGTGTGCGTGTGTGTGTATGTAGCGTGCCTGTGGTGTGTGTATGTGGCGTGCCTGTGGTGTGTGCGTGTGTGTGTGAGGAGCCTGGCTATCCATCTCAAAGTACGGCTCTCAGCCCACGCTCCTGTCTTGTTCTCGTTTTGCTTCTCCGCGCGCGTCCCCATCTGCCCTTGTGTGTGATCGTGCTTGACTTCAGGCCTCGGCGCGCACTATGACCAAAGGTGCGCCTGTCTGAAGCTTTGTGCACATTGTAGACATTGATATGCTATGAAACTTTGTGTGGCCATCTACGGTCACAACACACACATGCAATCACACAGGACACATGAAACATGACACATGACACACATGCACTCACACATGACACATGACACATGACACATGACACATGCCATCCACACACACACACACACACACACACACACACACATACTCTCTCCCATACACACGTACACACGTACATACACGCACACGCTCTCTCGCTTACACTCACGACACACACACTCTCACTTTCGGACTGTCAGGCTCAAAGGCGTCCGAGGATGTGGCGACGGTGGCAGACCTGCGTGACGGCAGCAAGGAACAGCTGCTTGCGTTGTATGAAGAGCAGGGTGCAAACCCAACCCACCAAGCCCTCCTCCCCTCCGTCTTGGTTGGCAGCGGCAAGCAGTGATGTGATGTGATGTGACACGACTTGAGATGGGCATTGGGTGGTTCGAGTGAGCGGGTGGTGGTCGCTTGCCTGTAGAAGATTCGATAAAGACTTTCGCATATTTTCCACAACCATTGTTGGCCAACAACGACGACGACAACAACGCGAGCGAGCGAGCGAACGACTTTGAGCGACCATCCACACCATCCTTCCTTCTCCTTCCGCAACATTCATCTGTTGCATCTGCCCATCCACGTCGGCGCCTCCATCCATCGAACCGGGAACGGTTGGACACCAGACAGACAGAGCGGGAAATCGGCTTAAAGACCACCATCTTCAAGGGAAGACAATGCGCGTGGTGACAGCAGTGCTGATCGCGGCCATGGCCGCCCTCACCGTGGCCATCGTGTCCGTGCCTGTGGCTGAAGCGGAAGACACCGGCAATCCTGCAACTCCTAGTACAAGCACAAACGCAACCACAACCACAACCACGACAACCACAACCACAACCACAACCACAACCACAACCACAACCACAACTACAACCACAATTACAACCACAACTACAACCACAACTGCATCAAACCCTTCACCAGACGATGGTCCGGACACAACCACGCGCGCTCCAACCACAACCACAACTCCAACCACCACCACCACTACAACCACGCGCGCTCCAACCACCACCACACGTGCTCCAACCACCACCACACGTGCTCCAACCACCACCACAACGACACGCCCTCAACCTACAACCACGCGCGCTCCAACCACCACCACACCACGTCCTGCGACCACCACCACACGTGCTCCAACCACCACCACAACCACACGTGCTGCATCATCGACCACAACCACACGTGCTGCATCATCGACCACAACCACACGCGCTCCATCGTCGACCACAGCCACACGTGCTCAACCCACCACCACACCACGTCCTGCGACCACAACGCGGGGATCTGCCCCAGCAGCCACGACGACACGCGCTGCCGACGCTGCGACGACAACCACCACGCTTGGCGAGTGGCAGCTGCTGAAGATCAAGGCGGAGGATGGGCTGAGCCACTCTGCAGCAACCTTCCTTGTCGCCTGCGCCGTCGTCGTCACAATCCTGGCCGTGGTGTTCCGCAAGAACATCTCTGAGAGCGTCAAGGGCCTGTTCTCCGACAAGCGCGGGCGGTACGACCGGCTCAAGGCGCAGAACATGTCCGTCTAACGCGGCCACCGGCTCAACTCCGCATACTGGAAGGCTGCTCATTTATACCATCCCCTCTTCACTTCCATCATCATCGTCATCGTCATCATCATCATCACAATGCCACCAGCCGACACGTTGCCCGTTGATCACCGTCAGCTTCGTTTTCCACATCCTCTGTGTGTGGCGTGACCACCTTTGCGTCGGCTTTGCCACCCGTGTGCTCAGCATATACACCAACCTTCATACACACGTGTGCACCACACAAACACATGCACACACAACAAGTTCGCTTCCTTGCTTGCCTTTCTCCCGTTACCTTCTCCATCGGCAACTAGGGAAGTTGCTGTCCGCCCATGGCCGTTTTGTGTCGCTGTGCTCAGGGATTGCACTGCTTTGTGGCATCATGCTCGAGTTGTTCTTGCCCGCTGCTCTTGTATCTGTTGTCTGTGCACGTTTATCTCTTCTTGGCTGACGACTACATAGTGACACCCGCACACATCATCGTTGAATGCACATGCGCAATAAACTTACAAGCCCTCTTTCCAACTGAACCAGGCACTCCGCCACCGACTCACTCGCACGCACATACATACACACTCCTCAACACACATGTACACACGCACGCGTACTCACGTACACACACACACACACACACATACACACTCCTCGACACACATGTACACAAGCACGCGTACTCACGTACACTCACTCACACGCACGCGCACACACACACACTCTCTCTCTCGCTTCAAACGAACAATCTGGTCGCAACCTTACCCCTTGCTTCCCTGACAACCCCTTTCCCCCCGCCTCTCCTCCTCCGCCTATCTCTGCCATCAGTCCATGAAGCTGTATCGTTTGGGCCGTGGCAGGTCCGCCATCTTGATGCTCTGCATCTGACTGCACTCCAGGCTGCGGTACCCAAGGTCGCTCTGCTGCTGCAGCTTCTCCATCGTCCCGAGCCGTCGCTGGTGGATGGTCACCCGGTGCGCCAGCCGCTCTGTTGTTGACTTGCGCCGCCTGTGCGCCGCAGCCGCCAGCAGCGATGACGTGTCTGAATGCGCCGTTGACTGCACGCTCGTCGCGGTTGAGAGCAGTGCCGATGCTGACGGTGTCGCTCCCTCTTGCCGTTCTTGCTGCTGCTGCTGCTGCTGTTGTTGTTGTTGCTGGTGGTGGTGGTGGTGGGAATATCCTGCCTCCGCCTCGCCCTCGCCCTCCTCGGCGATCCTGGGCGGGATGCGGCCTGCCTGGTGCAGGGAGCGGAAGAGGAACGAGCTCGTCTGCTGGGCCAGCTCCCGGTCAATCTCCATCGACGCTCGCGACCGCCGGCGCATCGTCTCCTGCAGCTGCTGCTGCTTCTGCCGGTGTAGCAGCTCGGCCTGATCGAATGAGGACGGGTGTTGGTGTGTTGAGGGAGTGGTGGGTTGCAATGGGTGGTGGGTGTGGATGACACGGTTGGTGTGAGACGTGTATTTGTGGGCGTGACTGCATTTGACCACACACGCATACTTGCGCGTTTACACACACACACACACACATACACACACATGTACACACATGCACACACACATGCAAACATACACACGCGCGCATACATTCACATGCTTCTTTCCCCCCCCCCCCAGACCCCATTCAACTCGTAGCACTACTGCCATGAGCTGCTGCAAGTACGTACCACGTCTGCTGGTTTCTGCTGCCTGTATGTTGAAGGGTCGTGAACGTTCCACTTGCGCGCCTGTCCGAGCGTCCCGATGTATTCGCCATGGATTGTCCACACACGGCATGTGCAGTCCTCGCTGGCCGTCAACACAACACGCGTCATGCCGTCGGTGTCGTTCCCTTCCGTGGCGGGCGACTCCGCCTTTGTGGTTGCGAGGCTGATGCGTGTGATGGCCTGCACGTGCGCCATCCACTTTGTTTGCAATATCGGTTCACCAGCGCTGCTGCCGGCGTCCACATCCTCGCGCCACGCCGCGCACGACCACACCTTTACCGTGCCAGCAGCATCCGCCGTCACCATGCGCTCGCCACTGCCGCACACCTCCACGTCGTTCACCGTGTACCTGCTCACGTGCAGCTCGCACAGCATGCGGCCCGTGTTGGTGTTGAACAGCCACACGCACCCAGCGCCCCCGCCAGAGCCCCACAGCACAACGTGCTGCGCTCCTGTGACCATGCATTGCCAGCGTGATGCGTGTTGTGTCATGCATGTATGTGGATGTGTGTGGGTTGTGGGCAGTGCTGTGAGCGTTGTGTGTGCGATAACAATGGCAGCGATGATCGTTGTGTGTGCGTGTGTGTGTGATGTCAATCGCAATGACCCCGCAGCCTTGAGCCATCGCACCCATCTATTTCACCTTGTGCGCCTGGTGTCTGGAGCGCGTGCCTCCACGCCACCATGCCGAGCACCGAGCAGCGCGGTACTTGCCCTGGGTGGGGTCGAGTTTGGAGGGAGGGGGTGAAAGACAGAAGAATCAAGTGTGGGTGTGGACGTGAAGGTTGGTGACAGTCGCAGTGTGGTGACCACGCACAGCATACAACACACACCCACACACCCACACACACACCACACGGACATAAACACACCAAAGCAGCCTTCCCTCAACAAGCCTATCCTCAACACCTTCTTGCGCCCCAGCCCCCTCTTCAGCAACACGTACGTCTGAGAGAGTGCTGTCGCGTGGCGAGGACGCGGTCGAGGACTTTCCAGGTGAAGATCTCGCCGTTGATGGAGCATGATGCAATGTACATGGGCCGCAGCTCCACAATGCTGGTCACGTCCGCCGTGTGTCCCCTCCCAATGGCGCTCTGGTCCGCGTGCACGTAATAGTCGGAGCCGTCACACTGCGAGAAGATGTTGATGGTGCGGTCCCACCCTCCAGACACGACGCGCCCGTCCTGCATCTCCAACATGGTTTGCACCTCCACCCGCAGGTCGGTCTGCAGCTTCATGAGCGCGAGCCCGACGTTGAAGTTCCACAGCTTGATGGTGCCGTCAGACGCCGCTGTTAGCAGCCGCCGCTGCGAGTGGTCAAAGTTGAGCTTGGTCACCTCCGCGCTCGCGTGCGCGGGCCCAAACTTGAGCAGCCGCTCGCCCGTGTTGAGGTTCCACACGTTGATCATGGACTCGCGGCACGCCGTCACCACCTGGCTGAAGAGCGGGTTGTACCCGACATCTGTCAGCGGCTGGCTATGCGTCTGCGTCTCGCCAGAGGTGGACAGGAGCTCGCGCCCGAGGTACGCCGTGTGCAGCTGGTCTGACGCATACACGACACTCGAGGTGCCGCTGTCGTACAGGCACGCTGTGATTGGGTGGCCACCCGGGTTGACATGCGACGCGGACAGGCTGAGAATGCAAGCGTGCGTGTACAGCGACCACAGCTTGACGACGGCGTCCGCAGAGAGGGAGATGAGGAACTGGTGGGCAGGCCGGCCTGTGGTGCCATCCCCATCGCCATGTTCCTGCTGCTGGTGTTGCTGGTGCTGGTGGTGTGAATGGGACGGCCGTGGTATGTTGTGGTGACTACTGTGCGTGTCGATGCTGCTCTTTGTCTGGATGGCCAGTGTGAGGATGCTTGCCTTGTGCCCTTCGAGGATGGCGTTGGCGCGGTGGTTGACGTGCGGGTTCCACAGCCGCAGCTTGCCGTCCACGCCCCCAGATACCAGCACGTTGGACTGTTTGGAGAAGTCAAACGCGCGCACGCCCTTTGGGATGTTGAACTTGCGTGCATCCGAGTCAAACACCACCATGGCATCTGGTGCAACAGGGGACGGGCACGTGTGTGCGAGCGTGCGTGTGCGTGTGTGCAGTGCGAATGAATATGGATGCGAGGGTGATTGTATTTGTGTGTGCGCAGGATGTGCGAGTGTGTGTGTGTGTGCATGTGTGTTGTGCGCTTGCTTTGGGGTCACACGCTGCACTGTATTTGCACAGAGAGACATCTGCAGGACGCAGCATGTCACGTGCCAGATGTCTCTCTTCACCAGCTTCAAACAGGTTGCGCATGCACACACACACGCGCGCCTACCTGGTGTTGTTGCGCTGCAGGAGATGAAGGTGCCTGGCGCAGAGTAGCCCGAGATGCCCTCCACCCAGTCCGAGTGCACCTGTTCGGACCAGTAGTAGTCTGGGGACAGCCGGCTGAGCGGAATGTCGTGTCGAAAGTCGCGCGCATCCGTTGCACTCAGAAGGTGGAAGCGGTGCTCGCGGAACTGCAGCACGTGCACGCGCCCGCCCATGTCGCCCATGAGCAGCGTGTCCGTTGTCTCGCTCTCGTGGAAGGCCATGCACATGATGGTGTGGCTGAACCCCGTGATCTGGCACAGCTCCTCAGAGACCGTGCAGGGGAGGTCGTAGAACCTGAGTGTGCGGTCGGAGAAGGAGACGGCAACCTTGCCAAATGGCGTGAGCACGACGGCGCTCACGGCCTGCACCTTGCGCTGGGGCAGACTGAGGTGTGTGGTCTTGATGGGCTTGAGATCGGACCGGTGCATGGAGATGACGCCGTCCTCCGTGATGGAGATGAAGCGGTACGAGCTGTGGGCGTTGCGTTGGGTCGGCATGTGGTGGGTGACGCAGGCAATGGGAATGCGCGCGGGAAGGTTTACTCTGGTGATGGGCACCGTCTCGTGGATGTGCAAGCGCTGCGCCTCTGACGCCGGGTCGTCGTCCTTCTCCTCGTACGCCACCAGCATGTAGGTGCATAGCTCGTCCCAGTCAACGTTGCCGTCGCAGCTGGTATCGATCTTCATGAAGAGCAGGGCCAGCTGCTCCCTTGAGATGACGTCCTTGCTGATGTACTTGTGCATCACGTTGCAGAACGAGTCCATGTCCAAGCCCATGTCTTTGAACTTTGGGTTCTGGAACTCGTCCATGAGCTTCTCCAGGTGGTCCCTGCGCAGGTAATCCTCCACCCTGCCCTCATGGTCAAACGTCTCGATTGACACCGGTGGCGACACCGACCTGTCGTGGTTGCTGGCCTGAACAATCGACGTCATTTCTCGGCTCAACGGGCGAGGGTAAGAGGCGCAAAGCGAGGGGCAACTGAAGGGGCGCTGAGACGTATATGTGTGTGTGTGTGTGCGTGTGTATGCGTGCGCGCGTGCAGCGTGTAGAATGCACCCTTTGATCCGTCGCTGGTCCCTTCAGATGTCGCTAATGCCACTCGCTGGTGCTTGAATGTTGCCTTTGCTGCTGCTGTAGTCGTTGTTGTCGTCGCTGTTGCTGGGGACGACGACAGAACGTTGGGCCAACGCGCCGCGCCAGGCTGCCCGTGCTGTGCGTTTGTTTACGGCCGTGCGAAGCGCCTTGGAGATGTTGACGACTGCCGAGTAGGCGGGCGTATGCATGAGGAAAGAACAATGGAGCAGAAGAGAGGCGGTGCAGGCTGTCACGACACAATCGCGCACACCACACCGGGCGGTAGCCAAGGGAAGACACGGGCACACGGCTTGCCCGCTCAAATTCCGATCCTGCAAAAAGTTTCTTAATGACGGTCAGTCTTCAAGGCGCACGGCGCAAGCAGAGACTTGAGAGCTGATGCAAGTAGAGTGAGACAGGAGTTGCAGTTGGAGAGATGAGACAAACAGCGGAGCACGTTGGCAGCCCTTCTTGCTTGCTTGCAATGGCTCTCGCCAGCCAGGGGCACTGTACAGCTTTGCAACGTACCTCACACGAGCTTCTATGTCGAAGGGGAGAGAAAGAGAGAAAGGCTGGAATGCACGCCAGAGCTTTGATGTCGTGTTGCCGCCAAAAAAGAACGCTGAAGGGCTGGAAGGGGCAAAGCAGCCAGGGTCAATTAATTCCGCATCAAACCAAGAACACAAAAGAAAAAACAGAAGAAGGAAGGACGAGCACGTTGTTGCGCGAAGACGATGATGAACATGCTGGCGATGCACAGGTTTGCGGCAGTGGGTCGGATGCCAGTGACAGCGGCGGCGGCAGCGATGCGACTCGCCACAGCAACCGCGCAGCGAACCGGTGTGCGCGCAGCAACAACAGCGGCAAAGAGGATGCAGTGCGCTCAGCAGCTGCGCCATGCTGCAGGCATTCAACGCGCTTTTCAGGGGCCAGCGTCCTGCAAGAACAACTCCCTAGTGTGCCGGCGGCCACTGCACACCACGGCGTGCACACACATGTCGTCGTCCACGGCCACTGATGCCCCAAAGGAGCAGCAAGAACGGGTGTTGCTGTACGAGGCACCCATTGCCAGGCCTGTGCGTACGTTGAAGGTCGTCTCCGTCACCAGTGCCACCCTCACCCTGCTGTTTCTTCCAGCGGTACGTGCTTGCGCGTGTGCGTGTGTGTGTGCGTGTGCGTGTGTGTGCTTGCGCGCGTGTGTGCTTGCGCGCGTGTGTGTATGTGTGTGTGTGTGCGTGTTTTTGTGTGAATGTGTGTGTATGTGTGCGTGTGTGCGTTTGCGTGCTTTACCTTTTCCCAGTCACAAGATGTAACCTCTACAACGCACCAAACCACACGCACACACACACGCACACACACACACACACACCCTCTCCCCCCTCTCTTGTGCCCTCCGCCAGTCCATCTTCATTGGCAATCCAGACATGTCCGCCATGGCCAAGGTGGCACTTTCCACCACCGTTTGCTGCTTTGCAGGCGCAACAACAGGTGGGGTCACCTGCCATCACCTCCATCATGTCATGGGCAAGTGGTTGTTTGCGTGGTGTGCAGGTGTCGTCACGACCTGCACTCTGTGCTCACCGCAACGCCCATGTACACACCGTGTCTGCCGATGCCACTCATGATGCCTTCTACCTCTTGCACTTGACGCTGGGAGCAGGTGCGCTGCACTGGGCAACAAAGTCGTATGTCTGCAACATCACCGTGTCGCACGAGGATGCCGAGAAGGTACCGCGATGTCACTGTTCCCTGCGCTTGTGATTGTGTCTCTCTACTCATGGGCTTCGCCACAGTGGCACTGTGCGCGTGTGTGTATGTGTGTATGTGTGTACGCATGTGTGTGTGTGCGTGTGTGTGCGTGCGTGGGCGTGCGTGGGCGTGTGTGTGTGCGTGGGCGTGCGTAGGCGTGCGTGTGCGTGTGTGTGCGTGTGTGTGTGCGTGCGTGGGCGTGTGTGTGTGCGTGCGTGGGCGGGTGTATGCCCTCCCCCACATACACACACACACATACATACATACATACATACATACATACATACATACATACATACATACATACATACATACATACATACATACATACATACATACATACATACATACATACATACATACATACATACATACATACACACATACACACACACATACACACATACATACATACACGTGTACGCTCGCCTCCCCAACTCGACGGCTCACGCTGGCTGCTTGCACTGGTGCTGACATCACAGCTGAAGCGCGGGGAGGACTGCAGCGACATCTCGCTGACAGCAGAGACAGTCTCCTTCTTTGGAGGCGTGAAGCAGACAACCTTCTCGGCAGCAGACGTGGTGAGCATATGTGTCGTGTTTGCTGATGTACCCGAGCTCTCGCCTCAACACAGGCTGTTTGTGCAGGCTGCTTACGTGCACACGTTGTCCACTCCCACACTGACCCTCTTCACTCGCCATGGTGCATACTTGGTCATGGCAGACATATCCCACAGATGACCCGGCCTTTAAATCCTTCTTCGTCGGGAACCAGTACGTACAGCTGGCGAGCGTGCATGCGCATGCGTGGTTGCGTGTGCTTGTGCGTGCATGTGCTGGCGAGCGTGCATGTGCGTGTGTATGTATGTGTGCGTATGTGTATGTGCGTCTGCGTGCTTGTCTGCTTGTGCATGTGTACGTGTGCGCTTGTAGTCATCGACAGCACACCTCTTTGAGCGTGTTCATCTCTGCACGAGCGACTTGCAGTGCTCACATGGACGGACAACTCACATGTGCGCGCGTGTGTGTGCGTGTGTGGATGCGCAGGAGCTTCTTCGTGCATGGGGAGGTGGTTGGCCCCAACAGCCCGCTGCGCAAAGTCCTCAAGCAGCTGAAGACCGGCTGACACCCAAAGGCGCCGAAGGAAGGAAGGAAGGAAGGAGGAGGAGGAGGAGGAGGAGGAGGAGGAGGAGGAGGAGGAGGAGGAGGAGGAGGATTTGCTCACACTGGTGTTGTACACAGACAGGCAGACGTGCATTAGACAGATGCACACAGCTGACTGACGTGAATGAATGCATGAATGAAACGAAACGAGGCGAGGTGCAAAACAAGAACACAAATCGCAACAGCGCACACAAACACAAACACAAGTCCAAACACAAACACAGGCAAACACACAAACACGACAAAACACAACACGAGCAGCCATGCCGTACACTGGGCCCGTGGTTGACACGCACCACCACTTCTGGGACCTGGAGCGGTTCGGGGACCACTACAAATGGATCAACAACATCCCTGCAGGTCGAACGAGATGGCCACACACCCATTGACACGGTTCAAGAAAACGCACACCCCCGTGCTCACGCGCTCACGAACAACTTGGTGCTGTTGACTGATGCGCTTTGGTGACAGATGCCAAGGACGCGGGCCTGAAGCGGTCATATCTGCTGCCAGACTTTGAGCGGGACATTCAGGACTTGAATGTCACCAAGTCCGTCCATGTGCAGGTGCGTGTGCGTGTGTCTGTATGCGTGCGTTTATACGTGCGTGCGTGCGTGTGCGTGCGTGCGTGCGTGCGTGTTTGTACGTGCGTGCGTGCGTGTGCGTGCGTGCGTGCGTGCGTGTGTGTGTGTGTGCGTGTGTATGTGTGCGTGTGTATGTGTGCGTGTGTGCATGTGTGTGTGTGTATGTGTGTGTGTATGTGTGTGTGTGTGTGTGTGGAGACACCGTCTGATGCTGTACCACGTGTATCAATTCTCACACCACACGCCCATGCGCACGTGTGTGTTGCGGCAGGGCGAGTGGCGTGGAGACGAGGTGGAGGAGACAAGATGGCTTGATGGCATTGCAGAGGTGAGGAACAGCACACCACTATGCCAAGTGCCGGCGTGCGAACGTCTGGGCGATATTGGAACTGTGTTTGTGGTGGTCCATGTGCTCATGTGTGCATTATGTCGTCTGCAGTCACACCGCTCTTCCCCCTCCGGTTCACCGCAACGACTCCAATCACCACTGTGTGACCACCCCTTCTTTTGCACCTCGCCACCGTGTCCCTTGTCACGCAGGACGTTGATAACAGTGCCGGGTTTCCGCATGCCATTGTGGGCTACGCCAACTTTGACAGCCCAGACGTCGAGAATCAGCTGCAAGAGCATGCAAAGGTCTGCAAGGGGAGAGTGTGTGCGTGCGTGCATGTGCGTGCGTGTGCGTGCGTGTGCGTGTGTGCGTGTGTGTGTGCGTGTGTGCGTGTGTGTGTGTCACCGTTCCACGCTTGCTGTGCTTTGCTTTGCGTTGCATGTCGTTCACATGCCTCGTTTGTTCAACATTGTCCATCTATCCCTCCAAACCCTCATCCAATGCGACCAACTTCCCCCTGTACCCCCCTCCTCCGTCCTCCGGCCAAACCTACTTTGTCCCGACGCGGACACAGAGCCCGCGGTTCAGAGGGGTTAGGCAGTTGTTGAACTGGCACGAGGACGAGTCGAAGAGAGCAGCAGAGCGCGACTACCTCAGCGATCCAGAGTGAGGTTCCCTTGCCCGCACCTGTGCGTTGATTGTCGTGTTCTGCATGAGCGCACCAGTTGTGCACAGGTGTGATGCATTCCTGGCTGTGCACAGCTGTACACGCGCGCACTGCAAGCTGCCTCCCACCCCACCCCCATCGTTTTGTTTCTCTGAGTGTTGGTTGGTTGCTTCATCTGAAGCCTCACTCGGGGTGTGCGCATGTGTCTGTGCCGCAGGTGGCGGGAGCGTATCGGGCTGCTCGCCAAGTACAACCTCTTGTTCGAGCTGCACCTGTATCCGCACCAGGTCTTTGAATAACATGCACATGCGCTTATTTTGCTTCGCAACTCGTGCGTGTCTATGTGTGTGGGCGTCCATGCGCTCGTGTGTCTGCCCGTGTATTTGCCAGCTCCCTTGACTCCAAACGTCTCCACCTGTCCCCCACTTGACTCGATCCGTCTCTGTCTGTCTTCATCTGTCTCTGTCTGTCTCTGTCTCCCCCGTCCTTTCCCCTTACTTACCATCACCCTGCTTTGTTGTCCCCATTTTACCGCACACGCACACGCACACGCACACGCACACACACACACACACACACACACAAATCAAACACCAGATGGCACAGGCGTCGGCGCTGTGCAAACAGCACCCTACGATCCCGTTTGTGCTTGATCACATTGGTTGCCCCATTGAGCGGGATGGTCCTGGCTACGATTCCTGGCTCCACAGCATGAAGGTGCGACAGTGCCATGTGCACGTGTGTGTATGCATGTGTGAATATGTGTGTGTGCACACGTTTACATTCGTGCCACTGCGCGCCTTTACATTCGCCCCTGTGCGTATGGCGAAACCTGTGGCTACGTTTGTCGTTGAGCGACAGACAACCAACGCCCCTCACTCTCTCTGCTGCTATCACACTGTCTTACTGTGCTGTGTGCTATATTGTGCAGGACCTTGCTTCCAATGCCAACGCATACTGCAAGATCTCGGGCCTCATTCACCCAATGCACACAAGCAAAGGTATCATGTGGCGCGTGAGGGCAGTGTAGGGTTTTCCATGCATGCGTACATGTTGTTGACCTGCGACTGTCACTGTTGCTGTGCTCTTGTTCACACACACATGCGCGTGCGCTGTGCGCGTGTGGGTGCCGCTCGATAGGGGGTTGGAGTGCCGAGACGTTGCGTCCTTGGATCAAGGGGACCTTGGAGGCCTTTGGAACAGACCGTTGCTTGTTTGGCTCCAATTTCCCTGTGGACGGCGTGTGTGGATCCTACAAGCAAGTGCTTGATGCCGTGAAGGTGAGCGACCTGCCAGTGAAACTCCTCTTCCACTTGCTGAGTAGTGCTCATGCTGCTGCGTTGCTTGATTGTCGCGCTGTCTCTGAGTACAAGACTTACACTCACACACGCTCTCACACGCACAACACACGCACAACACATACACACACACGCTCTCACACGCACAACACACGCACAACACATACACACACACACTCCCACACACACACACACTCCCACACACGCACAACACATACACACACACACTCCCACACACACACACACTCCCACACTCCCACACACACACACACACACACACACACACACACACACACACACACACACACACACACACACACACACGCACACACACACACGCACAACACAAATCACACATGCAACAGGCCTGCTTGGATGAGCTTGGTGTGAGCGCAAGCGACCAGCACAGCATCTTTTATGCCAACGCTGTGCGCATTTACCAACTCTCTGATTGATTTTGCCACGGTGGCAAAATGTGGTGCAAAGGAAAAAATAAAAAATTGTTGTGGTCTGTTTTGGGTGGTGAGTGCCCGGTTTTTTTGCTTTTGAGGTAGATAGCAGATGGCCGTGTGCGCACTCGTGTGCCTTTTTCCACTCGAATCAGAGATCCACACACAGACGCACCGCAGAGGTGAGGGAGCATGGGATATGGCGAGCGCAAAGTTGGGAGGGAAGGATGGCGAGGCGACGGCCAAAGCGCCCTGCCATGGATGTGGAGACTGGTCCATGACAGACTGCCTGTGTGTGTGTGTGTGTACGCGTACGTTTGTTTGTGTGTGTGTGTGTACGTCTGTCAAGCAGTTGGCACCACAGCAAAAACTGCACCAACTACACAACCATCACATGCCACACGTCGCACTCATTGTCGCAACCTGTGAAACCCTTTGTGCTTTTGCGCTTGTGTGCTTGTGTGAGTAGATGGCTGACGTTCAGAAGAGGAAGCGCGCTTTCCGCAAGTTCACCTTCCGTGGTATTGAGGTCGAGCAGCTCCTTGACCTCAGCCATGACCAGGTGTGTAAGCGTGCACGCGTGTTTGGCCATGTTTGCGCACGTGGCGTGTGTTTGTGTGTGTGTGTGTGTGTGTGTGTGTGTGTTGTAGCGTCTGCCCGAACCCAAGTGCCGATGCAGCGAGTGAGATGAACGGCACACGCGGACTGGCCTTGTGGCGCTCGCGAAGCGATGGGAGAATCGATTGATGTACAGCAACAAGGCAGCGCGAGAGCCGATGCCGAGATGCGACCCACAGAGACCACCACCGCCACCACCACAGCACGCGACTGAAAGCACCTAAAACCGGCCCCGCTTGCTGCAACACACCATGGAGAATGCTGATGATGACCGCGACAGAAGCGCAGAGCAGCTTGAGTGTGCTCACATGAGCGGGGAGCAATGTCACAGCACTAACGATTGGCAGCGACAACCACAGCGTTGATGGTGTTGACATTTGAAGCGTTGCGCTTCAGAGCCAGCAACGGCACGCTGTTGCTGCTGACCATGTGTGCACCCACGTACAAAGTGCAATGTCACTGATATCTTTGAAGACCCGCGTTTCTCACCCTCTGCGGCTCTGCTTCTTCGCTGTTGGTCTTGCCTCTACACTGTTCTTGGCCTGTGTTTGGTCGTAACAGCTCCTGGACCTCCTCAACTGCCGTGCCCGCCGCAAGCTGAAGCGCGGTCTCAAGCGCAAGCCCCTCAGCCTTCTCAAGAAGCTCAGGAAGGTCAAGAAGGAGACCCCCGAGGGCGTAAGTTGGTGTTGGACTCGATGTGTGTGCTTGCTGGCTGCACTGCACACGTGTGCTTTTGCACCTGTCTTCTCTTTCGTGCACCCCTTTGTCCGGCACGCGCGCCAAGCATACACCTGTGTGTTTGCAACTGCCGGTCATAATGCGCACCTGCAGAGACAGTTGATTCCCAGTGCTGGCTCATTCGCTCCTTGTGAGACTCAACTCACCCATGGTTTCTGTTCTTGCTTCTTCCATACGTGCGCCCTATCTGTGTGCTGCTTGTACCCGACAGGAGAAGCCCGCTCCCGTCAAGACACACCTGCGTAACATGATCATCCTCCCCGAGATGATTGGCAGCATTGTTGGCGTGTACAACGGCAAGACCTTCAACCAAGTCGAGATCCGGGTACGTTGTTGGTCTTGGCGTTGTGTGTTCTTTCTGTGCACATGATGTTGTCGCGGAGTGAGACGTGTTGTGTGTCCTGTTTGGTGCTGCTGGGCATCGCATCTGTCTTGCGTGTATGGCTGGCCTCCGGTGCTTTGCGCGTGCCACACTCAATGTACGCTCGCTACTGGCTCACCTTGTCGTGTGTTGGTTTTCCTCTTGGTTTTGTTGCTCTCTTCTCTGTGTCGTTTCCCTTTCTTCGTTGCAGACTGACATGGTTGGCCACTACCTTGGCGAGTTCTCCATCTCCTACAAGCCTGTGCGCCACGGTCGCCCCGGTATCGGTGCCACTAACTCCTCCCGCTTCATCCCTCTCAAGTGAACATGGTCCTGGAGTGCGTGCGCGGTGTTATTGTGGTCGATGTGTTGCGGGAGACAAGCTGTGCGTGCGAACGTGTGTCGTCCTTTGTTTAGTTTGTGCACACAGCATCATGTGCCTGTCGCCCAGGTGTTTTGATCATACTTGAACGGCTTGTGCTGCCTCGTTGTGTTTGCACAATCTAACAATCAAACAAGGCAACAGAAGTGTGAACCGCTGATAAGACAAAACTCTGTGTGTGAGAGAGAATGAGAAAGAGAGAGCGTGTGTGTGAAGTGCGAAGGTGGACTGAAGGGGAACAATGAACCTTGAGGGAGTGCTGGTTTCTATCGCTTTTATTGTTGTTCAGATCAAGCACGTGCTAGCTCGAGAGAGGCTCGGTTGAGTTGCGGGTGACAGGGTTGTGCCACACAATCTCCTCCAGGGCGTCTGTGTTTGCTGTGTCGCAACTGTTGGGGCACGTGTACACGGCGAGCACGCCAAAGTCGGCAGCCGTGGTCGAGACCTTGGTGGAGAAAGGTGTGGGGAAAGAATAACATGGGAAGATGAAATGTATGTGAGAGCATGCATGTGCAGACGCACACACAGACACAGGCAGACAGACAGACAGAGAGACAGACAGACACACCTCGACGGTGGGGAGGATCTGGGGCAAGAGCTCAAACTCAAACTCGCGCATGGCGCCACATGTTGGGCAGGGGGAGATGTCGTGTTCTTCCGGCACGCGACTGCCAATCCACAGCGGCTTGCCGCCCTGTTGTTGTGACATGGTGAGGAGAGAGGGAGAGGCGGGGAGTTGTGGGCTGGAGACGGGACACGGAAGAAGGAGAAGGAAGGTGTGTTGTTCCAACATAGCGGCACAGACAGGCAGACACACACACACACACACACACACACACACACACACACACACACACACAACACACACACACACACACACACACACACAAGCAGCAGACAAGTTCGAGAAGCTGACATGCACAATCAAGGAGAAGTTTGAGGGTAGCAGCACGCCGTGCATGTGCGCACCTGTTGGTAGCGTAGGACTTGGTCTGGCTCGTCGGCGAGGGCCTTGCGAAACTTCTTGATCATCTTGTCAAACTCTGTGGATGTGTTGGCGGCAACCGGTGCCAAGTTTGGATTCTCCTTGGCAATTTGTTGCAGCTCAGAGTGCATATCATCATCATCGTCATCATCGTCGTCATCGTCGTCGTGTTTCTTCTTCGTCGTTGTGTCGTCATCATCGTCCAGTCCGTCAAGCGTTTCATCATCATCGTCATCATCGTCATCATCACTGTCGCCTGTGTTGGTCTGTCAGGCACGCAACGGGTGAAGCACAACGGAAAGCAAGGGACATTGTATGAGTGTGAACGTGACAAGTGTGTTAACGTGACGGAGTGTGCAAGCTCATAGTGGCCATGAATAGGCAGACGTTATGGGGTGGGGCTCAAACGAGGCTGCACGCAGATACAAGCAGACACGCAGACACACAGACACAAGCAGACATGCAGACAGACACACAGACAGGCAGGCAGACACACACACACACACATGCAGACACGCAGACACGCACGCACACAACCACAAACACACACGCACACACACACATGCACAAACACGCGCGCACCTTGATTGGCTCCAAGACGAGGAGGCGTTCTGGGAAGAGAAACTCGGCGGGCTCAACGGACACAAGGTCCGCATATCCCGTGCAGTCTGCCGTGCACTCGTCCTTGTGCCCGTGCAGCCAGTGCCAGCGCTGGTGGTCGCGGCTGCAGTAGTGGCGCTTGTGGCACCGCGAGCACGACTTGCTTGCCGGCATGCCGCACGCGTAGCACAGCCGCACTGGTTGGTCGACCGTGGCGTCATGGTGGTGGTGGTGGTGGTGGTGGTGGTGGTGGTGGTGGTGGTGGTGGTGGTGTAAGTGTATGCAAGTGGAAAGCCATGCTGGGTATGATGGAACAAGACTGGCAAACGAAACACGAACAAGTGAATAAGGACACTTCATATTTGGAAGTGTGGGCTAAAGCATGATCACACGCACACACACACACACATGCACAAGGCATGGCCATTTTCAAGATGACAGGCGCAAGCGAACCCGCACGTGTCTACGTTTCGAATGCAGATAGGGCCATGTCTCTCACCATCTGGAAGTTGCTTGAAGGTGCCTGATGCGTCATCGGTGGCGTCTGACACTTCATGGAAGTACTGTGGCGTCAAAGGGGAGAAACGAGCACATGAGGTGAGTGATAGCTTTAGAATTGGTGCTGATGTGTGATGTGCGACAAGAAAGAATCACAGGCCACGCCCATTGCAGTGTACACACAAACACAGTGTGCACACAAACACAGTGTACGCACACACACACACACACAAACACACACAGACCTTGTTCTGTCTGGGAAGTGTCTGACGGAATGCGCGAAACCTGGTTGCAGTTCAACCAGTGACAAATACTTGGCGTGAGGAGAGCAAACCATTGAGGGCAGAGCAGTGGCCCAGTCGATAACACACACACACATACACACACATACACACAGACGCCATGACATGGATATAGTGGCCGACTACAGCTTACCCGCCCTGTCTGCCGGGGTTGTTGCATGTGGAGGCGTTGGGGCACACAAAGACAAATACACATCGGTGATAGTTCTGGTCTCCCTTGTACAACCCGCCGCTGTACACCTGCACAAAGTTAGAACGAAACACACGCACACATGACCAGCAGCGACGTACACGGGGTGGTGGGTGAAGAGCGAGAGAAGTGTGTGAGTGAGCGAGGGAGAACGGAGCACGCGGGCGATCGAGTTGAAGAAGCAGGCAAGGAAGTGTGCTCGTGTGTAATAACTCCAAGGTTAGCCACCATGACTTGAGGTGGGAAGCTAATGGCACGAGTGAACAAACAGTGCGTGATATGACAACTGTTGTGTCTCGGTGTGGCATGAGGGGTGCGCTCCTCGCGCTCGCGGGTTAGGAGTGGAGGAGGGGAGCGAGGGCCGAGCACGGGGCTCAAGGCGCCTCTTGCTCAACCTTGCCCTCACATGCGTGCGCAGGTGGGGTGGGGGAGGGAGAAGGAAGAGGGGAGGAAGGGGGAGGAAGGGGGAGGAAGGGGGGAGGAAGAGGACAGGAGGACGGGAAGAAGAGGACAAGGGTGGGGATGGAGAGGAAGCGAAAAGAGAAGACGGGAGAAGGGAGAAAGAAGAGCGAGGAGCGAGAGATGGGTACACGTCACATTTGTGCCATACCTGAAAGAGGAAGCGAAGGGTTGCGCCACATGTGCAGGTCAACTGCTCCTTTGTTGGCAGCTGCTCAAAGTTGAGCCAAGCCTAGGGTGTGTGTGGTTCACATGGAAGAGCGCGTTACAGTTGAGACAAGACGATTTGTTTCTTCCACACGCTCCAGCCAACACACAGTTGTACACGACACACAACAAAGACACACACGCACACACACGCAGACTCACAGACACACACGCACATACACGCACACGCACACACACACACACGCACACGCACACGCACACACACACACACACGCGCATGCACGCACATGCACACGCACACGCACATGCACACACACGCACACGCACACACACACACACACACACGCACACGTACACACACACGCCCACGCGCATGCACGCACACACCATATCGCCAACGTACTGGTCTGCCTCCAAACTTTGTGGGCAAGTTGGGCGCCGTGAGCAGCGCAGGAGCGCAATCCTCGACAAAGCCAACCTCGAGTTCCGCCATGACGGCCCGTTCCAAACACGACAAAATGAAATGCACCACTTGTGGACGATTCGCCATATCTTCCATTGTCGGTTTTGGCGCGCCGATTCGAACGCGACTTCCCGCCGAAACACACCAGCACCAAACACACACACGCACGAGCAGCTGTTGTTCACAACTGCCACCATCCCGCCAGTAGTGTCTGTTGTGTCTGCCTGTCTCTCATATCAGTTGTTGTCATCTCTCTCCATCTCTGTGTGCATTGGTGTGCTCCACGTCCACAACGCGTCACCACCCCCCCCACCTCCTTCTGCCATGGCTGAGGAAGCTGCCGCTGCACCGATGCTTCGGCCGGTGCACGGCGATGGCGTGACCCTAGTCACCTTCGACGGCTCTGGGTCAGTCCACAGGGTCCGGTGACGGGAGCGAGATGCGTGTCCGTGTGTGTGTGTGTGTGTGTGTGTGTCTGTGTGTGTGTGTTTGTGTGTGTGTTTGTGCGTTTGCATGTGTCTGTATTTGTGCGTTTGCGTATGTCTATGTGTAGGTGGCGTCCAGATGGGAGCTGATGAGCTGACATGCGTTCATGGCGGACTGATGCACTGCTTGCATGGGCGGATCGCGTAGGAACATTGTCACCGCTGGTGAGAACGCTGTCGTGCATGTGTTCAAGTCCACCACGGATGAAGATGCGCGTGTCATCGAAGACAACACAGGCCCCATTGCCGCCATCGACTGCAAGGTGTGTGTTTATGCATGTGCGTGTGCGTGTGTGCGCGCATATGTGTCTCTTTGTAAGTGTTTTGTGTTTGTGCGTGTGCACACGTGTCTCTTTGCGTGCGCCTGCTCAATGAGCAGAGTTGTGTGGTCGCCTGCTGATGTCGTGTGTGTAGAAGGAGTGAGCACATGGGGGTGGCAAGCACGATCATTGCAAGCGCCCGTTTTGTACATCACCTCACACACGCCACACAACAACCCAACCTGCACCGCCACGCACAACACTGTCGTAAACAGGGCAACAAGCTCGTGACTGCCTGTGAAGACCACCACGTCCGGCTCTTTGATCTCTCCAAAGGGGTGTGTTTCTCAAGCCCAGATACCAACGGTGGTTGTGTCACATCTGTGCCATGTCCGACGCATGTGTGTGTATGTGCGCGTGTGCATGTGCGTGTGTGTTGCTTTGGATTTGATTGGGCTCTTGTAGCTGACCACGTGTTGGATTTCCATGCTCTGCCCTGCCGCCATCAGGAGGAGTGTCTCGAGTCTGTCGTGACGCGTTTTCAGGGCCCCGTCAAAGCCGTTGCTCTCAACAACACGGGCTCCGCGTGCGCTTCTGCTGGCATGTAAGTGGTGTGGGTGGAGTTGACGCAAATTGTTGCCAGAGTACATGACTGCTTGCTGCCGCGTTTTTTGTTCGCGTCTCCACCGAGCAGCTCATTCACACACGCACACACGCACACATACGCACACACACACACACACATACACGCGCTCACTGCTGTTGTCTCTGATCTCAACGCCATGGCATACCGTTTGGTCTGTGTTGTTCGTGTGCAGGGACATGGTGATCAAGATTGTGACGCTGGTGGACATGTCTGTGCGAGAGCTCCACGGCAGCGAGGGCACTGTGCGCTCGCTCTGCTTCGATCCACAGATGGAGCTGCTGGTGCGTGAATGCGGTCTTGTTGCCGCGCGCGCGTTCTTGCTTGAGACTGTGGTGTTGGCTCGTTTCTGTGTTGAGCAACGGAACAATCCTTCATGCAGTCATGTTGATTAGCACCAGCGCTTACACAACGCTCACTCGCCCTCACACGAACACACATCGCCTTGCAACACACTGCCGTGTCCCAACCACACCCATCACCGCGTGCCTGCAGGCATCTGCTGGCGAGGACGGCTATCTCCGCCTCTGGACCATCGCCACAGGGAAGATTGCGCACGAGCTCTACGTTTTACCCAACATTCGCGGCGGCGCAGACCCGTACGTCTCGTGTGTGTGTGTGTGTGGTGGGGGGGGGTTGCTTGTGTGTGGGGGGTTGCTTTTGTGTGAGTGTGTGTGTGTATGTGTGTGTGGTGTGTGTGTATGTTTGTGTGCGTGCAAGAGTTGGGGTGTTGTATGAGCACGCGTGTGAGCGTCTAACAAAGTCACCTCCAACATCCGTTTTCCATGCGTGCCATTGTTTCGCGTGCTCGCGTGCAGAGCTGAAATCGGGATGTACGGCATCGACTTTGACCCGAAAGGAAACATGCTCGCCGTCCCCGTCAAGAACGCTGTGCAGGTGTGTGTTGGGGCTGAAAGGGGGGGGGTTGTGTGTGTATGTGTGTGTGTGTGTGTGTGTGCACGCATCATCGCTGTTTGAACAGCAGCGTGACGCAGTTCTTGACAGTGCTGTCGCGTTTGGTCTTGACTTCTCCTGATCGCCATCGTTGCAGATCTTTGACCGCTCCCTCGAGTTTATGTTCATCCTCAAAGACCTCGGCCACGATGCGGTGTGTGTTTGCGCGTGCGTGAGTGTATTTCTGTTGGTGTATGTTTGCGTGCCCGTGCGTGTTTGCGCGTGCGTGCATGTGCGGATGTACGCGTGTCCATGCTCCATGCCACTCATTTTCCGCGACCACACACTCACATGACACGACATCACCACAATCATCAATCTCCAATCACCAATCACCAATCACCAATCGCCCATGACCACCAGCCCGTGTCGGTGGTGAAGTGGTCCCGTGACGGCCGCTACCTGGCGAGCGTGAGTGTCGATGGGCAGATGCTCGTGTGGGAGCTGTCCAGTCGGCAGTGCGTGGCCTCGTTCAGACATCCGCGCCGCCTGTGCATCACCTCAATCGCGTGGCACCCGACCGAGGAGGAGATTGCTTACGCAGGTGTTGCACTCATCATGCGTGCGTGCGTGCGTGTGTCTGTGTGTTGGTGTGTGCATGTATGTGGTTGCGTGATTACGTGTATGCGTGTTTGTGGTTGTATGAGTATGCGTGCATAAATGCGTGTGCTTGCATGGTGTGTGTTAACCTGCACTGGCCCTTCATGGGACCTGACTCAACATGCCCGCACACCATGCTTTTGTATGCGTTCAGATCTCCTCGGCAACTTCTCTGTGTGGCGCAAACCCGTGCGCGAGAGCGTCAAGGAGAAGCTCACGCCCGAGGAAGTGAAGCAGATGGAGGCGGACAAGAAGGAGGCCGCCTCCCGCGCAGGTCCTGACACTTGTGGTGGTGCTGTGGTGTGCTGCTGTGATGTCCTGTTGTGCTCTGTGGTGATGTGCTGTTGTGGGGTGTGTATGTGCACACGCCTGGGTGTGTGTGAGTGCCTGTGTGTGTGTGTGTGTGTGTGTGTGTGTGTGTATGTGTGTGTGTGTATGTGTGTGTGTGTGTGTGTGTGTGTGTGTGTGTGTGTGCCAGTGCCAACGGTTCCGGCTCCTGCATTGTGTCACTTTTTGTGACAACCGCTTCCCAAACACAGCTCTGCTTTCACCCTCACACATACATACACACACTGTCCCACCCCACCCTAACACGTGTTCGTGCGTGCGTGCAGACGTTGAAACGCTGTTTGACGATGAACCGAAGCAGAAGATCCGTCTGAAGCGGAACAACGCGCCGCGCAACATGATCACAGACAGCGATGACGATGAAGACTACCTCGACGAGAACGACGTGCGTGCGTGTGCATGTGAATGTGTGCATGTGAATGTGTGCATGTGAAAGTGTGCATGAGTCCGTGAATGTGTATCCGTGTGCATGAGTACGTGAATGTGTGTGCGTGTGAATGTGCCTGTGTGCGTGCGCGCGTGTGCAGGCGTGATTGTAACGCCCAATTGTTTGGGTCTGTGTGGACGATTGTGGACGATTGGATGTTGCTGTTCGCTTCTCCGTGATCACCATCATCACATGTCACGAACGGCACCTCATCAACACCACCACGATCCTTCAACCCCACCGCACCTTCCACCAGAACGACGATTTCATCGTTGATGACACGGCGGGAGCACACCAGCAACACGCGTACGCCCCAGTTGCGTCGCAGTTTGTGCAGCCTGCCTTCCAGCCGGCCTCCACGCCGCTCGAAGAGTCAAAGAGATTCCTCGTCTGGAACGACACAGGCTTCATTCTCAGGTCTGTGTGTGTGTGTGTGTGTGTGTGTGTGTGTGTGTGTGTGTGTGTGTGTGTGTGTGTGTGTGTGGGTTGGTCTATGCGTTCGTGTGAACGGGTTTGTTCGTCGCAGTAGCGCTGCCAATCACGCATTCTTCTTTGAACCCCTCCGTTGCTTCACATGACAGCCGCGAAGAAGAAACAACATGCGCCATCGACGTTGAGTTTCACAATGCATCCAAGCACCGCCCGATTCGCCTCGTGGACCATTTCGGGTTTACGATGGGCGCCCTCACGTCATCGCTCGTTGCCCTCGCTGCTCCCTCGCACGCGCCAACCGCAGAGAGCCAGCGCGACCACCCAAGGTGACTGCATCGTCAGAATGGCGGTGACAGTGGAGGCTGAGGTCGTGGTGTTGTTGGTCATGATTTCATGCGTCTCGTCTTGGTGGCCACTTTCCCCTGTCACAATGGCCCACAACCCACTGCACTCAACGACGCGTTGATACATTTCACGACCGCTCACCCCCCCCCCCCCAATGTTTTTGTCTGTGCATGCAGTGTGCTGTTTGCGCGCAATATTGGGCACTGGTCCTCAGACGAGACCTGGCAACTCTTCTTCCCCGTCGGCGAGGAAATTGAGGTTTGGATCAACTGCGCTGGCGTTTGGCGTTGCTGCTGCTGTTTATCATGTACATGCTCTTGCTGCTGAAAGTATGTGTGCGTGTGTGTGCGTGTGCGCGTGTGCGTGTGTGTGTGCGTGTGCGTGTGCGTGCGTGTGTGTGTGCGTGTGCTGTTTGTGCAAGCTTACAACTGCATGCGTGCGTGCGTCCGTAAGCGCTCCAGCTTGCTACCACTCGTTTCTCCTCCTGCTCACACATGCTGTGCCACATGCATCACGTGCGCGCGCGTGTTTGCTTTGTGTGTGTGTGTGTGTTTGTGTGTTTATCGCGTGTGTTTTTGCTCTCTCTCTCTCTCTGTACGTGCGCGTGTTTGCATTGTGGGTGCAGTGCATTGCGGTTGGCAGCGGCGAGACGTCGTTTATCGCTGCTGCGACGAACAAGAACTACATCCGCCTGTACTCCAACAACGGCGTTGTCCTGGATGTGTTCTGCATTGACGGTCCCGTCGTCACCATGGCCGCACACGAGAACAAACTCATGATCGTACGTCGTCTGCACACTCTGTACATGCACACACACGTGTGTTTGCACCATCCTGTGTGTGTATGTGTGCCTGTTTGCGGCTTTGGTTGGAATTCTGTGCCTGCAGTCTCGCTGACAAACGGTCGCACGCTCGCTCCCATCCACACTCTTTTCCGCACTCACACACACACACACACACACTCTCTCTCTCTCACACACACATTCACTCCCTTGCACGCACATGCCGTGTGTGTGTGTGTGTGTGTGTGTCCACGCCTGCAGATTCACCACAGCGCGGCCGGTGTCAAGTCGAACCAGCACATGCGCGCAGTTGTCCTGGATGTTGACGCCAAGAGCGTTGTCTGCCGGACAAATGTTCCACTCACAGATGGTTCACAGCTGGTGTGGGCGGGGTTCTCCGACACGGGCCTGCCTGCCATCGTTGACAGCGAGGAAGTTGTTCGCGCCCTCGTTCCATGTACGTGTCCCTGTGCGTGCACGTCTGTATGTGTGTGTGTGTGTGCACACGTGTGTGTGTGTGTTTGTGTGTGCGTGTGCGTTTCATGCTTTGTTGTATTGTGTTGTGTTGCATCGTGACATTGCCACCCCTTGCTCTCATTGTCTTTGCTGTCATCGCTCGCACAGCGTGGGGCTTTTCCTGGATCCCTGTCGCCGAGTTTAAACAACTGCGTGACGAGGTGTGTGCACGTGTGTGTACGTGTGTGTGTACGTGTGTGTGTACGTGTGTGTGTACGTGTGTATATCTTCATGTACGCCACTGCTATTGTCTATCCTCACCGCGTTCCACATCCCCTCACACACACACACACACACACACACACACACACACACACACACACACACACACACACACACACACACACTCGTCAATATGACACTGCTGCAGAAACACAAGCACGAGTACTACTGGGTAACGGGTCTCTCTGACAACGAAATTGTGTGCATCATCTGCCGAGGCGGCGAAACATATCCAAAGGTGGTGGCCCTACACTTGGCACCGCATTTCCCTTGCTTCTCGCCCGCTTACATACATGCTCTTCCTTCCACTTACTCGCATACACAAGAACACACACACATACACACAACCACACACACACACATACACAACCACAACCCACCCTCGCAAACCATCCCAGCTCACTTGCCCATGTGCCCACCAACCACGGCTACTGCAGGTGCTGCCGCGTCCTGTCGTGTCGACTGTTCCGCTGCAGATGCCAATTGTCTCCGCACCGGAGACAGCGCCGTCGGAGGAAAAGTTCCTGCGCACCAAGGTCGCCATTGGTGGTGATGGTGGTGGTGGTAGTGGTGGTGGTGATGATGATGATGGATTTCATGAGTGCGTGGGTGCTAGTGTGTGGATGTGCGCGCGTGTGTCCTGCGTCGTGCTCTCTCCTGGTACATGCGCGACTGTTAGAACTGGCCTGCTCATTGCATGTACATTGCGTGCACATTGCGCCATCACCGACAGATTTTCGTGGATCATCTTATCGAGAGCGAGGAATTGGACGGTGAGTGGTGATGCACCACACATGACAGAAACGATGCTTGGCACACGACACGTGCCACATGCATGTGACGTATGCATTCACACACACGCACACACACTCACTCACACGCACTCACACGCACACACACTCACTCGCACACTCACTCACACACACACTCTCACACACGGTGGACCGTGATTTCTGACATCCTAACGGCGTTGCTTGCTCTTGAATTGCACGACAGAGCTTGATCGCGCGGATCGCAAGCTGATTCAGCACCACCGCCGTCAGCTCGACCAGCACGTGCTTGCAAGCATCAGCCGGTCTGTGCAGAGCCAGCGGTGGGGACGGGCCCTCGATCTCACAACGCGTCTGCTCCTGCCAGGCTCCTACGATATTGCCATCAAGCTCGCCATGAAGGCAAAGGTACGCCGCAAATACCACATGAATCGTCGCAACAGCGCTTTTCCACTGCACGCAATCTCATTCTCTCTCACTCTGACTCACACTCACACACACACACACAATTACACACACACACATACACACACTCTCTCGCACTCACACACACACGCACACACACACACACGCAAAATACACACACACACACACTTACTCACCACCCGCGAACCCTGGATGCGTCTGTGCAGTCGCCCATGCTCGCCGAGCGAATGTCTCTCGCCAAGACCGCCCTGCAGACGAGCGAGCGCGAGCGCCTTCGCCTGAAGGTGCAGGCAGCGCGCGCTCCTCGTGCCCCCGTCACCAACGTGACGTCACCATTGCCGTCGCTGTCATCTGTGACAGCGCCACGTGCGCGCTCCCCTGCCAACGCCCCGTCGTTCTCTCCGGGCACAGCGCCGCGCACAACGCATGAGCTGGAGATGTCATCGCCTGCATCCACCGCCGCCACCCCAGACAAGGTCAGGGTGTGTGGCGCGTGCTGTGTGCGTGTGTGTCGTGTGTGTTGTGTGTGTGCTGTGTGTGTGTGTGTGTGTGTGTGTGTGTGTGTGTGTGTGTGTGTGTTGGTTGTGTGAGCGCAAGTAACAGGCGTGGCCGGGCGGTTGTTGCTTCACCTCTCCCGCCTCTTCTCTTCCGAACGACAAGCTGCAACTCACGCACGCGTGTCTTCTTCTTCGTGGCTGCAGGCTGCTGCTCGCTCGAGGGACAAGGAGACCAGCAAGTTTGCCAACGCCTTCCAGGTATGAGGCTGTGGGCGCTGTGTGCTTGTGTGTTCGTGGCGGTGTGTGTTTGTACATTTATGTGTGTGTTGTACATTTGTGTGTGTGTGTGTTTGTGTCCTCTCGTTGTACTTTCTATTTCTGGTCTTTGAAACCACTCGAGCTGGCTCATCTCATGCGCGTTTGTACACCACTGTGGTGTTGCCAGAACGTGCCGTTGTCACCCAAGAAGAAGCCAACGTCAGCAAGCAAGCGTAAGTGTCAGACCTTCTATCGTGCGTGTGCATGTTTGCGTGTTCAGTGCGTTTCGTGTCTCCACCGCACACCAACCTACCTCACATTTACCAACCAACATGTTGGTCATGTACCTGTGGGCCGTGCTGCACAACAGCCAAGCTCTCCAACCCGTTTTCAAAGAAGCGCGCCAGCAGCAGCGGCACCGACGCGCCTGCCACCACTGCAACAGCAGATGCAGGCGCTAAATCCAGCAACCCCATTGATGCCCTGAACGGTGTGTTACGTGCGCGCGTCACGTGCGCGCGTCACGTGTGTGTGTGTGTGTGTGTGTGTGTGTGTGTGTGTGTGTGTGTGTGTGTGTGTGTGTGTGTGTGTGTGTGTGTGTGTGTGTGTGTGTGTGTGTGTGTGTGTGTGGTGCGTTTGTGCGTATCTCTGTGTTATTACTTGTGTGCATGTGCGCGTGCTGTATCTGTGCGAGCGAGACAGGCAGCTCACCTCCTCCCCTGCCACGTTGGATTTGTGGTGATGATGCGCAATGGCGGGCAGATTTGGCGCGCACGAGCCCCAAGAAGAAGGCCAAGGTGTCCAGCCCCTTTTCCGCGAAGGTGCGTCGTCGCTGTCGCGTTGTTGCCTCGGCTGGTTTTGGCATTGCTGCTGCTGTTGTTTCTGTTGTTGCTGTCGTCATGTTTCACACTCAAACGCTCATACGTTCGCATGCACTACGTTCACCTTTGCGTTTGACACTCCCTCGACACGGTCGCCACACACACACACACACACACACACACACACACACACACACGCACACGCACACGCACACGCACACGCACACACACACACACACACGCACACACACACACACGTGTAGGCTCCGCGTGCTCTCAACCCACCAGCAAAACAGAGCAAGCCGAAGAAACCTGTTTCAGGCTATCTCCTCTGGCTCAAGGAGAACAGAAAGGTTGACGTGTGCTTGTGTGTGTGTGTGTGTGCGCGCGCAGGTGTGTGCGCATGTGTTGTTGCTGTCCTTGTTGCTCTGCTCACCGCCAGTCGCCATGGGACGTTTTCATTTGTGACTTCAGGACATTATCCAGCAGTTCCCCGAGTTGAAGCCGAAAGAAGGTGGGACAGCCCTTTGATCTATTACGGCTGTGTTGTTGATTTCTGATCTTGCGTGCTTCCTCACTGCTGCTGCTGCTGCTGCTTTTTGTTGTTGTCTTACTTGCTCACTGTTGCTACAGTTGTGAAGAAGGCTGGTGAGATTTGGCGCACCCTCTCTCCGGAGGAGAAGAGCAAGTATGCCCGCCCTGCCACAAGGTACAGAGCGTGTTTGTGTGTGTTGTATGTGTTGTATGTGTGTTGTATGTGTGTATGTGTGTTGTATGATGAGTCGACTGTGCACGCGATTGGAGCCCAGCCATCCCCATCGTGGCCCCAACGCACAACCACACGCACAGACACACTCACACTCACACGCACTCGCACAACCCCTCTCTCACACCGGCACATGTGCAGTGAGAAGAAGCCTGCGCCAGCAAGCGCGCCAAGCTCCCGCAGCGACTCTGACGATTCTGACGACGACGAAGAAGAATCAGAGAAGACCAGCACCACTGCCAACAACAAGAACACCAAGGAGAACGCCAACGGCGTTGAGGACGAACAGTCGCAGCAGGAACCGGAGACTGCTTCCACCGCTCCCCTCGCTTCCGCTGCCTGATGATGAGTCATCGGTTTCTTCTTTCCTTATAGTTGCATCAAATCAAATCAAATGCATAAAAGTTACACATTCCATCCCGCACACATTTCGAAGGTGGTGTGCGTCAGTGCCTTTTTTTCCTCTGCCACCCTGACTTCACTGTCTGACTCACACGCTCTGACTCACGCTTGGTCTTCCCACAAGCAAGGTGTGTTGTGTGTGTGTGGTGGGAGAGGGCCTTACGATGGATAAGAAGGGTTCACATCACATGATGACGGGCGATGGTGGCCTTGTTCTCTTGGTCTCTTCTTCACCGCTTAAACCGGACTGTGCTTTGTTCCACCATTCACAACTTCACTTGCATGCACACGCCAAATTGGACACACACCCATTGTGCTCACGCCAACCTGTTGATCAATCATCATAGTCGTGAAGACAGAGCACGCCAACATCAAAAGCCAAGACGACAAGGACACGAAGAACAAACAACACCTCTTCTTCCTTCCAAGGCGCTCCAACTTCATCCGCAAGCTGTGACACAGAACCCTGTTCTTCTCCGGCATCACCATGGGACAAGTGCTCTGTGTCGCGCCCTTCGCGTCGGCGCCCTTCGCGTCGGCGCCGTCGTGCGTCTCGAAGGAGTACGATTCCACGCTGTGGACCTCCATTGATCTCAAGGTTGCCATCGACGAGGCCAACAGCACGTACGTCATTTGCCCCCCTCCCACACACACACACAGCATGCGCGCATGCATATCATGCGACGTGTTCACCTGTTCCTTCACCCTGATCACCGTCTGCCTGCCTGGTTGTTTGTTCACAACATATCTGCTGTCCCTTCCACCTTGCATGCATTCATGCACTTCATGCATGCATGGCAAGCGAGGGTCGGTTTCGGCGTTGCACCCGCACGCCCTGCACTGGCCTGTTTTCCACTCTTCACTTGCCTTTCGACCACTCTTCACCTGTCTTCCGATTACTCTTCACTGATCGTCTCCCACTCTTCTTCAACTCGCGCCACGCCACGCCATTCGCACTGATTGCCCTTTTTTTTGCCCTCCTCGCTCCTGCGCTTTCCCTCTCTTTGTTTTGCCTCCTCCTCTGGCCAGGTGTGCTGGCCTGGCGAAGAAAGGCGAGCAGCGCGTCAAGTTCCGCATGGAGGGCGGCGATGACGCCACTGCCCTGCCCAAGTCTGGCCTGTTCTGGCGCGCCGCCGTCACAATCAGGCCCTGGCGCCAGGTGAGACACAGGGAGATTGTGTGTGTGTGTGTGTGTGTGTGTGTGTGTGTGTGTGTGTGTGTGTGTGTGTGTGTGTGTGTGTGCGTGTGTGTGCGTGTGTGTGTGTGTGTGTGTGTGTGTGTGTGTGTGTGTGTGACCATTGGTGGTTTGCACCCATGTATGCATGTATCGTGGTGTGGATGAATAGAGAGAGCGATGGTGAGCTTGACGAATGCTTGTGTTTTGAATGTCAGTGCACTGCTGTCCTGTTTTGGTGTCGTGGTGGTGGTGGCTTTGTCCTGCTCCTGTCCAAGCAGCGCACAGCAGCACTGCTTCTTCTTCTCGCTTGCTTGCTTTCTCGCTCGCGCCTACTCTCCTGATTTTCTTGTTTGTCTTGTTTGTCTTATTTCTCACACACACGAAACGCCTGCCTGCTCCTGCTGCGTTGTCTTTGCATTGCGTGTTTGGGGCTATCTTCTGTTTGCTTGCTGTGCACCTTCTCCTCTTCTCTCTTCTCTTCTCTCCTCTCTCTTCTCTCCTCTTCTTCTTTCCTCTTCTCTGTTCTGCCTTCACCCCGATGCCAGTGCGATGGCGGCGAGGAGGAGGCGAGCGCGCGGCTGCTGTCGCTGCCGGAGTTTGCGCGCACCTACCAGTTTATCAAGGACACGTGCAACCCGAGCCGCCGCCCCTCTGCGCCCTCCGCCCCGTCATCCGCTGCCTCCTCCGGCCGCAGCAGGTGCTATATTTGTGTACTTGTGTATGTGTGTGTATATGTGTGTTGTATGTGTGTGGGTGTTGTATGTGTGTGTGCATGTGTTGTATCTCTCTCTCTCTCTGTCACGACCATGCTCTTATGGAGTCGTTGCCATGTTGCGCTTGCACACGCGATTGCTCTCCTGTGCTCACCGTGTCATGCGCTTTCCACGCCAACGCCACTTGATAGCGTGTCCACGGAGTGCACAGACAAATGTGGCGTGTGCTATGAGCGAAAGCCAGACACGGTTCTTGCGTGCATGCACGCATTCTGCGAGTCGTGCGTCTCAGAGTGGTGAGTGTGTGTGAGTGCGTGTGTGTGTGTGTGCGTGTGAGTGTGTGAGAGAGAGAGTGTGTGTGTGCGTGTGTGAGTGAGTGTGTGATTGCATCATTATTCTCGTGTATCGGTGTGCGCCACCTTGGCTCAGCTCATCACCTCACCCTGCTGCTGCCGCTTTGACTGCTGCGGCCCTCACCGCCAGGTCTCACGTCGATGCCACATGCCCGCTCTGCCGCAATGCGTGAGTGGTCACCAACACCAAGGGGAGAGTGGTTGCTGTTCTATTGAGGATGGAAGGCGGGCTGTGCTGGAGAGGTTGTGCTCCTTTCACCCTGCGCTCGTGCTTATACTTGTGTCATGGCTGCTGTTCTTCGCTGTTTATCCTCCCCTTTCCACCCCGTCCTCTCTCCACACCTGACTCGCTGTGCTCACGCCATTGCATGGCTGCCTTGTATTCCTCCTCCTCTCCTCTCTCTTGCACTCCTACTCCCCTCTCTTGTTTGCTGTTCCTTGTCCTCCTTCTTCCTCTCCCTCCATGCGCACAGAATCTCGGATGAGAGCGAATGCTTTGTGGACGTGGCGTATCCGTCCCGTGAGGACCTCAACGCGTACCTCATCAGCAGCTTCTTTGACTGATCGTGCATGTGCTGCCCTTGTTGCACTGCAGCTCTTCTTCTCGCTGTTTCTTGTGTTGGTGATTGAGTCATCACACGCACACACGCACACACACACAAACACACAAACACACAAACACACACACACTCTCTCTCTGACACTGTTCTGACTCTTTGCCCTTTCTTCCATCTCCTCTCTGTCCCCACCCCTCCTCCTTCTTCTTCTTCTTCTTCTCCTGTCCCTTCTTGCTGTCCTTTCCTTTGGTGCTTTCTGTAATGGACTATCTATTCGGTCTTTCCATTTATTGACAGACAGACTGACAGACTGATTGATTGATTTATCTGATTTGAGTGCCCTTCCTGCCTGCATGCGTGCATGCCCTTTTTTGCCCCCTGTATGTAATGTAACATGATGTGACATGACATGATGATGCTTCCCCTTTGCTCTCCCTGCTTGCTTCTCTGTTTTATCTTTCTTTCTCTCTCTCTCTCTCTTGCCTGTCCATCCTGCTCTCTGCCTTTCTTTTGCCCATGCCTGGTTTTATGCCGTGTGCATGTGTGTGCTCGCCCCTGTCACATGTCACACATCACACAGCCACAATCGTCCAATCCAATCCAACAGTACCCAACACCATAAACCAACACCGACGACAATTTGTGAACATGTTCCATCACCTTTCCCCTTTCCTGTGCCTTTTTCCTCTCATCTTCGTCGTCCTCGTGCTTCTCTCTGTGAACAAGCCAAGACAAGACAACCAACCATGGGTCGCATGCACGCACCTGGCAAGGGTATCTCCCGCTCTTCCCGCCCCTTTGTCCGCACAGCCCCTTCCGTACGTTTCTTCAAGACCAGACTCCCACTGCTCCTGTGAACATGACATGCTGTCCAATATTCTTGGTGGTGATTTGTTGTCACATCACGTTGTACTCGTCACCGTCGTGCTGTTTTGTGGTTTGTGGTGGTGGTTTGTGGTGATGGTTTGTGGTGCTCTTCCATCCACATCATATCGCTTCCTCTGTTTCCATTCTTGCCTTCCACCAAGCCTTGCCTTCTCTTCCTCTCCTCCCTTTCCTTCTCCCACTACATTTTACTTTCCTATTCACACTCACTCACTCATTCTTCTCACCCACGCACTCACTCACTCACACCAACTGACACCGCTCCTGGCGTTGCCCACACAACAGTGGCTGAAGAACCTGTACTCTGCTGACGATGTCAAGGAGAGCATTGTGAAGCTTGCGCGCAAGGGTCACACCCCCTCCAAGATTGGTAATGACGCCGTGCCTTTGGGCTTGAGTTTCTCGGGTTGATCATGCAGCACCAATACCATGTGCATGCTATGCTGTTGGACTTTGTCCTCAGCTGGGTGGCGGTGCTGTTGATCTGTACATGCCTGGCTCTTGCCGACCTCCTGGCCTGTCATGGCCGTTGGTGTGCGTGCCTGCATAGCAGCACCGCATCAAACGTGAGGCTCTTTCTCTTTCTCTTTGAGGCCTTTTGTTGTTGTTGTTTAAGTTATTGTTGTTGTGTCTTGTTGTGTGTCTGTTGTGTGTGTGTGTGTGTGTGTCATTGTTTGTGGCTGTGTGTTTGCACCTAACATGCTTGCTGTGTGCTGTGGGATGGCTTAACATGATGCTGAACACTGGCGCTCGCCACACTGCATCTCCTTCCCCTATCTCTCCTCTTTCCATTTTCTTCCCCTCTCTTCCCCCTCTTCTCTCCTCCCCCGCCCCCTTGCCTAACCTTCACAACCCCCCCCCCCCCAAAAAAAAATCTGTTTTGTTTCCAGGTGTGATTCTTCGTGATAGCCGCGGCATCTCGTCCACCAAGGCCATCACGGGCACCAAGGTGCTCCGCATCCTCAAGGCCGCCGGCCTTGCCCCCGAGATCCCGGAGGACCTGTACTGCCTCATCAAGAAGGCCGTCGCCATGCGCAAGCACCTGCAGGAGAACCGCAACGACAAGGACTGCAAGTTCCGCCTCATTCTCGTTGAGAGCCGTATCCACCGCCTCAGCCGCTACTACCGCACCAAGGGCGTCGTTGCCCCCAACTTCAAGTACGAGAGCGCCACCGCCAGCGCCCTCGTCGCGTAAACGCACCCATCTCCCTTTGCCGCGTGGACAGCATGATGTGCGCGCAGGCGGGGGCACTGGCATTTTGTAGGGGGACGCAAGGTTGTTGTGGTGGTGACACATAATCATGTCACGTGGTCCCTGTCACCCCTGTCTTTGCACCCCCTCCCTCTACATTTTGTCTTTGTGCTCTCGCTCTTGTGTCATTTCATCATCATCTGCTGCTGCTCTGTGTGTTGTTGTTGATTTTGGTTGGCTGGCTGGCTGGCTGTGTTGAACGAGCCACGACGTTGGGTTGTTCGTGTGTCTGCCTTGCTTGTTTTATTACATGGCATGGGCGGGCGCCGCAGTTGAGGTCATCAATTAAATAAAACACACACACACACACGCAGTGCATGAATGGCTCAAGTCGAACATCATGCTTGTGAGGGAGATGGGATGGGTGACGTGATGTGACATACGAAGAAGAAGAAAGAAGAAGAGGCAACAAGGAAGGGAGTTGTTCTCGAGGATGTGACAGCAATAACAACTCAACACTGGGTGGACACCCTCCTTATGTGTCATGTGTCACGAGCTTGCTGCGCCTGTGCCGTGCTTTGGCTGCTTTGGCGGCGGCCCTGCGTCGTCTCCATCGTCGGCGAAGAGGTCAGACGGGTCTGGCAGGGCCTCGGAGGTCAAGACAGACGGCGCATGCACATCCGGCAGGTTCTCAACGTGCTCCTTCAGCTTCTTGCGCACCGCAGTCACCCGCCTCGCTTGCTCCTTGCACTCCTGTGCAGAGGCGTCGTGCAAAGGCGCGGAGGGCAGCCGGGAGCCGGGCAGGGCAGAAGAACGTCGGTGCAACGTGAGCCGGGGGGTTGGGAAAGAGGGCGGAAAAAGATGACATTCAAACAGAGAGAGAGAGAGAAAGGGAGCAACACACACACACACACACACACACACACACACACACACACACACACACACACACACACACACACACACACACACATACACAGACGGACAGACAGACACACACACACACACACACACAGACACAGACACACAGGCACACAGACACACCTCGACTTTGAGCTGTGCGCGGGCAATTGCCTGCTTCTCTTGCAAGATGCAGCGTTCTGCCGTCTGCAAGAGGATGTTTCCCTCTGCCACAAACGCCCGCAGGCTCTGCAGGAGGGCAGTCACGTCCTGCTGCGCTTGCTTCACGGGCGCCTCTGCCGCCGCCAGGTCGCCCACGCCTGAGGTGCACACACGCAGATACGCACGTGTGCACATTGTCAGAGCACGCGACACTTGGTGTTTGTGTGTGTGTGTGTGTGTGTGTGTGTGTACAGTGTGTGCGTGTGTGTGTGTGTGTACAGTGTGTGTGTGTGTGTGTGTGACATGTGCATGCATGCAAGCAGTGATTGGTCATGTCACGGGCCAATGTGACTCACTGGTAATGTCCTTGATTGGCCTGTCGTCAAACACGGCTGGTGGGAGGGATCGAATCTTGGCCATGGCCGCGGCGAGCGAAGGAAACTGCTCCTCGTGGGCATCCACTTTCCCAAACAATTCGCGCTTCTGCAGCGGGGGCGTGGGTGGCGCGCATCGCGAAAGTGAATCAACAATACGTAAAGGGGCGAGACTTTAAAGCCACACCATCCACCCGCGTGCGTGCAGCAAGTGTTGTTACATTATTGATGCGCTGAAATGACACGCAGAAGTGTGCTGGCGGACATATGCAGTGACACGCAGAAGTTTGCTGAGGTGATATGCAAACACACGTACACCCACAAACACACCACATACACACTCACACACACATCACATACACACATACACACGCTCACACTCACATCATACACACATGCACGCACATTGATTGGCTGGCCAAGGTCGACATCTTGCAAAGCGTCTGTGCTGACAGCAGGGCCGCTGCTGTTGGCGCTGGCCACGGGCTGTGATGAGCGGAGGCGCTTGCGCAGTTCATTCAGGAACTCAACAGGATACGCTGCACGGTCTTGCCAGATGGAAATGACCCGAATCAGCTGCTGTTGGCCCTTTGCATCAAGCACCCTGTGCAGGAGGCAAACGCACCGCGGGCGTGTGAGCGGCTGCAATGCAATTGGAAGGTTTGTGCTTGCCATGTTTTGGCCACCAACCGCAGCTCCAGCACACAGGCAGACAGGCAGACACAGAGGCACAGTCACAGACACTCAGACACACAGGCAGACTGACACACAGACACACACACACACACACAGACTGATAGACAGACAGACAGACACACGCGCACGCACGCACATGCAGACAAACACGTGCGTGGAACTTACTTGTACACTTCGGGGAGCACGGTTGGAAGCACTGGCTGGAAGGCAGTGATGTAGGCCATGCCTTTCTTCCTGCCTTGGAGAATCACGTCATTGGCCAAGAAGATGAACTTGAGCTTCTGCTTTGTCGGCGCTGTTCACGGGCCAGCGCAGGCAGAAGGGAGAGAGACAGGGGCGACAGGGGAAGAGAGAGAGAGAGAGAGAGAGAGAAATGAGTCAGAGAGAGAAATGAGAGAGAAATGAGTCAGAGAGAGAGAGAGGAAGGGAGTGTCAACAACTCGAGAAACAACTCGAGCGAACAACAACTCCACAAACAGCTTGAGCAACCATTAAATCCCCCACCGCACACACACACACACTCACCTTGTTTGAGTTCTTGCTGCCACACTTTGACAATGTCGTCTGCGTGCTTGGAAAAGTGGAACAGCCAGAGCGAGAGCGATTGGATGCTGTCCTGGCTGGTCGACAGCGTCGACAGCTTGCGTATCAACGATGCCTTGTTTAATGACATGTCGCGTGTCCGTGTATTTTAAGTGTATGTGTGTGTGTGCGCGCTTATGTGTCTGTGTACAGTGAACAACAGGCGATGCTGTGTTAGTGGTGCAGCAGCAGCAGCAGCAGTTGATGGCTGCTGGAGTGCAGGCAAGAGCGAGAGAGGGGATGAGGGTGACAGAGGGTGTGAGCGTTGTCCTTCCTTCCCTTCTTTCCTTCTCTTTCTTTCTTCCTGCTGCTCGCTTGTCTGGCAGTACTGAAAAGTAGATGAAGATGTGGTCAATTATCGCCCACTGAGGCTTATTTTTGGTCGTGGGAAAGAAACAAGCGGTGAGAGACAGAAAGGAGGAAAGGCAGAGGAGGAAGTGAGGAGAGTGGCTGGTTGGTGGGCTGACCCTCTTCTGGGCTTGTATGTGTTGTTGTGTTGTGTGTGGAGGAGACAAGAGACACCAGAGAGTGGGTGCGAAAAGTGCCACGACGCTCGCAACTCCAAGTCAACTACAACACCGCATTGCGTGTAACCCAGCAAAACACGCGATCCATCCTTGTTTCCTTTGCATCTCTTTCCTCCTCACACGCACCTTTGACCACCTCCACTTTGTGCTTCGTGCACTTGTTGCCGCTCTGCAGGTTGTTGTGCTTGTACGTGAATGCACACGGGGATACGAAGCTAAAGTCTCATTGCAGCGCAGCGCATCGCATCACATCACAGCACATCATGGGTGCGTTTCCTTGGGCTTTCTGGAGTGGAGGCGACTGAACGTGTGAGTGTCATTGCCCCTTCTCCACGACGTGGTCGTGACTCAAACGTGGATGTGTGACCCGTTGTGTTGGTGGCTTGCGCAGGTGGGTTCTTCTCGTCTGTGTTCTCCCGCCTGTTTGGCGAGAAGGAGAGGCGCATCTTGATTTTGGGATTGGACGGTGCCGGCAAGACAACCATCCTGTACAGACTGCAAGTCGGCGAAGTTGTGTCCACCATCCCAAGTACGGTTTGTGTCCACGTGGCACCTTGGTGTTCTGTGCCGTTGCTTCACTGCGCCTCACACCAAACCCCAGGACTCGTGACATAAGGATGACAAGCTACACTCATGCCCAATCGCTGCATGTGTTTGTGTGGTGGGGTTGGTGACGTCGTATTGCTCATGTTGTCATGCTACTTTGTTGTCCACAGCCATTGGATTCAACGTGGAGACAGTCACATTCAAGAACCTCAAGTTCCAAGGTAACTGTTATGGGTGCACGGCTTCCATATGTGGTGTTCGTGTGTGTGTGTGTGTGTGTGTGTGTGTGTGTGTGTGTGTGTGTGTGTGTGTGTGTGTGTGTGTGTGTGTGTGGACCGTATGACTGCATGGGGCTGTTGTGCTGCATTCCCTCGATGCCTTCTGCATCTCATTCATGCTGCCTGCCAACCTGACGTGTTCCGATACCAGTTTGGGATCTTGGCGGACAAACTAGCATTCGGTACGGTCACACATGCGCGCTCTGGGTGTGTCTGCGAACGCACGTCAGCGCTTCTTCGCTTTTCATCCCGGCGCAACCTTTGGATCGTGTTCGAGTGCGCATACACGCACACACACGCACACACCCCAACGTAACCACGCATGACCCAACACCACGCACATCCACGCATCCATAACCGCGTGTGTATCCTTCTGTTTTCTTTATCAGGCCATACTGGCGGTGTTACTACAGCAACACAGATGCCATCATCTACGTGGTGGACAGTTCAGACAAAGAGCGCATGGGCATCTCCAAATCAGAGCTTCTCTCCATGCTTGAGGTGTGTGTGTGTGTGTGTGTGTGTGTGTTTGTGTTGTATGCGTGTGCGTGGGTGTGTGCAAGTGCAAGTGCGCGTCTGGAAACAGATGTTGTGCGCGTGCACCCAACTTTTCCTCCTTTGATGGCCTCTCACGTACTTGGCCTTTCATCTTCGCTTTGTCCTGTCCTGTTCGCAGGAGGAAGAGCTGAAGGATGCCGTGCTCCTCGTCATGGCAAACAAACAGGTACACATGTGTGTCTGAATGTATGTGTGTGTATGTGTGTACTTCCTTCCATATGTGTGCATGTGTGTGTGTGTGTTATGTGGCTGATTGCCCCAAGTTCACCACCGCTCTCTGCGCCATGCCTCCCGACTCCTTCCTCACCCCCTGGCCATCATCGCCGTCACGTGTGTGCAGGATCTGCCTGGTGCGTTGAGTCCGGCAAAGGTGTCTGAGGCGCTTGGGCTGCAGGCCCTGCGCAACCGCACGTGGAGCATATTCAAGACCTCCGCAACAAAGGGCGAGGGGCTCAACGAGGCCATGGAGTGGTGCGTGCTTTGTGCCTGCGTGTGTGTGTGTGTGTGTGTGTGTGTGTGTGTGTGTGTGTGTGTGTGTGTGTGTGTGTATGCACGCGAAAGACATGTGCGTGAGGAGAGCTGTTGTTGATGTGTTGACGCGTGTCGTGGTGTGAGTTTGCGCAGAAGCGTTGGCTTTCATGTGCCTCACCATCAAATGCCTGTTGATGATCATCGTTACATGGCTGGTTCAGGCTCGTTGAAGCGGTGACAAGCAAGTAACCGTGACCGACTTTGCGCACCTTGTGTGCACCGTGCGCACACTTCAAGCTCACCGCCACGGCTGCACTTCAACCACCTCCTCATCCGGCACCATCAGCATCCCCAGCGACCCCTCCATTCACCAAAGGCATCATCCCCACTGATCACGCCTCAACTTCTTTCACCCTTCACCTTCCACATCCACCTTGCACCCTCCCTCTGTTCATTGCTCACCACAGCAGTTGCCTCTCCGGTTGTTCTTAGTCCCCTCTTCTTCAGCGCTACGCGTCGTGTTTGTGTTGTCAAGTCGTTTGTTTGTATTATGTAGCATGCATCACTGCCAAGCTGTAGCAGTGTACATGTGTGTGTGTATGTGTGTCATCTACATCCTCGCTTTTCGAGGACACGCAACGTATATTTGTGTGTGTGTGTGTGTGTGTGTGTGTGTGTTGGCGTGATTCTCCAAAGAAAGAGCAAGATCCAACTAATTGGTTGACCAACGCGAACGAGTGCAGAGGGAGCGCGTGGTGATGGCAACAAACTCAACAACACGTTATGAAACCAGTGTGGTCGTCATCGCAAAACAAAATGTAATAGACGTGAAAACACACTGTTGCTCATGACAAAATGCATTCACACTTGCACACACACACACACGCACACACGCACACATAAGAATAACTATCACAACGACCGTACTCACTCTCGTAATACCACAATACCACGACACGCACACACACACACTTGTACCCACACACAAATGCACACT